TCTCTCTCTCTCTCTCTCTCTCTCTCTCTCTCTCTCTCTCTCTCTCTTCTTTCTTTTGTCAGGACCTTACTATGTAGCCCTGGTTGGCACTGAAATCACAGACCTGCCTCTGCTTCCCCGGTACTGGGATTAAAGTACACTATCACTATCATACCTCACGCATCTATTTCCATGGTTAGAAGTATTTAAACCTTTGCTGAAGAGTGGATATTGGACTTCCAGTCTGGGTCCGAGCATAGAGCAGGTCACAGGTGGCAGCTCTGTACCCAACCCCAGAAAACCGAGAGAAAGAGGGACTCCCAGGAACTTGAACTCAGGCAGCATCCCAGGTAAAAATGAATCACCCATGATGTCTGCTGTTAGAAGTTCTAATCCAGATGCTGGCCTCCAAACTTATACTACTCAGACCTTTGAAGGACCACTGACAAGAACATCAAACAGCTAGAGATTGACATCACTAATCTGAAGAAATCCCTTGTTTCGCTGTCTGAAGAGACTGCCTAAAATTGCAAAGATCCTTATTGGACTTGATTTACTCTATTACAACAGAAAAGGCTGTGTACAGCTCTTGAATGTGTACAACCCTTAAAGAACAAGGTTGCCTTTACACAGACAAGACAAGGAGGGTTAAAGAGAGCATGAAATAGGTATTGAAGGCCCTAAGAAAAATCAGAGAGAGAAAGAGACAGATGAATGCTGGTACAAGAATTGGTTTTCAACCTCTCCAAGGTTGTCAACCCTATTTCCTCCCATCTTGGGACCATTATTTGGTTTCTTTTTGCTTATTTCTGCTGGTCCCTGGCCCTCAAATAGGTGGACTAACTCTGTGATACAACAGATAAATAATTTGGTAGCAAAACCTACTCAGATACATTATCATAAGTTAGCTATGGAGGACCATGAGACTCAAGATGAGGTTGTTACTTTATACAGGGTGTTTCCAAAACCCATCTCCACTCAACCTAAAAGGGGGGACTTCTGCCCCTAGACCAAGCAGAGAGGGACCACCCAGAACCCCCTCTGACAGGCGATCTGACTTCTTGCTTAGGCTGCAAGGCTAAGCGCTGCAAGGGAATATAAATAAAAGATAAAAATATCTATCTGGGTTCCCTGAGGGACAAGCCTGACTGCATAGGGGTTGATGTCAAAAGTATCCCCTCTCCAGGAAAAAGACATCAGGACGGGTATGGCCCTCATGCCTCACTGGACAACGACAGGGGGACTGGAGCCATTACAAGGTCCCCTTCAAATACTGGAGGTCAGGCCTTCGAAAGTTTAGAATTGCCACAGCCCTTCTATACTTAGAGAAGGGAGGAGATGTCAGGGGCATCCCTGCTTACACACTGAAGGCCTAAAATCAGCCATAGGCCTAAATTCAGCAATAGGCCTGTCATACATGTTTACTAACACCAAGTCTTGGGTCTCTGTGGAAAAACATTGAAACAGATGGCTATAAGTTAATGTAAACAGGCAGCTTTTGTGGAAATTTACAAGCCTGAGTAGTCATAGACCTTGTAAATAGGTAGCCTTGGCACACAATACCAACTTAGATAAGGACAAGCGAGTCATAAGCAGAGTCATAGTGAGTTGTCCCCTGAACCTTCACCCAGCCAATTCCTGGTTCTGAAGATATCTGTATTCCCCCCTGAACACCCACACTCCATTGTCATTCCCTTCCCCACATCCTGCCTTTCTGTGTTTATAACCCCTTTGTGAATGAATTACAATTTGAGAAAAAATAAATTATAAAAAAAAAAGAAAGAAAAAAAGAAGAGTGGATATTGACAGACCATAATTGCATTTTCTCCATTCAAGAGGAAAGCTGAGATTCATTGGTTGAATTTAACCCAAACGTTATTCTCTGTTTACATCAAACAAAAAGTCTCCTAATTTTCAAAACACAACTAGAAAAAAAAAAAAAAAAAACCCAGACTCATGCAGTGTAGCAAGTACACACTCACTGTAGAACTAGCAGGATGATGGTTCTCCATGAGCTGCTCTTTATTGTCCTTAGCATACTCGAACAACGTGTAGGTCATGGCCGTGCCAAGGTTCACTTCTACTGCTTCCTGCAGCTTGGCTAAGATGCTCTGCTTTACAGCCGAGGAGCTACAGCGCAGAGAAACATTACTGTCAAGGGCAAGTAAAAGAGAAGAAAATGAAACTGCTAGGAAAACCAAACTATACTCACATGGTGTTGTTAAAAAAGGCGTTCATAGATATGACCGGAGGCGTTTGTGGGTAAGTCTCCGTCCAGGAAATCTCTATCAGGAAGGCTTTGGGATCGCCGTCTTCACCTATCTGAAGAAAAGGGAGTCTTAGGCTTGTGGAAAGTGATCAGGAGAACCAAATTACTATCTTCAAGATGATGCTTTCCAATACTCATGATCAAATCAGAGGCGTAATTTGCTGACAAGTACGTGGTAGGGCTGTCCAAAAATAAACAGCTCCGACTTTTGCTTTAGCCCCACCTTGCTTCAGAAGGCTGCATTTCTGCGATGGGTTTCTCAACCAGCTGTAGGCTTTTCAATACCAAGGATACATTTTACATTTTTTGTTTCCAAGGATGAACGTAAGCCATCAACTACAAGGAACAAATGACAACCGAGCTGCTGCGTGTCATAGCACTGGGGGTGGGGGTGGGGGGAGAAGGAGGTGAACCTCTGAGCTTGATGCCAGCCTAGTCTACAGAGAAGCCCTGTGTCAGAAAACACAACAAAAGACCACAATACACAGGAAATAATTATTCACAAACCTGAAACACCTTGTCTTGACCGTTTCTAACTGCTAAACTGCAACAGGTACAAAGAACTTGGAAACTGATACATGCTGTTCAAGTGGGAAGAGACCAGAAAATGGAGTATAAAACAGAGAAGCAAAGCAAAGGTGGGGGAGAGGGCGAAGTAGGCCCCAGAGCAATTCCTGACAAGAATGTCTCCTGTTTTTACAACTTTTAATTTAAAACATCTTCAATCTTAAGGAGAAGCTAAACTGGCACCACCAATGCTCACTGGTATGTATTTACTAAGCACCACATCCCGTGTCTTTGTCATTTCCCTCTAGCACAGCAATGAGCATCTCCTCTAATGTGTATGATTTTCTCCACCTTGGTTTTAGTTGAAGCATTTGAAAGTAATGGAATGTCTTTAGCTATTTATGAGTGAAAAGAAAAACAACCCAGGGTATCTTTTATAATGAAAAGACAATCATCATGCCCCCAAGAATTCAACACTGATAATAAAAATCTTACCTAAAAATAACTACTCATATTACAAATTCTTCAACTATGCTTAAAGTGCCCTTTAATTAATAACACTTCCACCCCAGAAATCTAAACTCACGGAACGTATATTGTAATTCGTTGTAATATATCTATAGTCTATATTAACAGAACCTTCTCCCAGGCTTCTTAAGTCTTTTTATGACGTCTAGGCCAGATCCAGGTGTGGTGCATGCCTTTAATCCCAGCACTTAGGAGTCAGAGGCAAGCAGATCACTGAGTTCAAGGCCAACCTGGTCTACAGAGCTAGTTCCAGGAGAGTGGACAGCTATTCAGAGAAACACTATCTTGGAGAAAAAAAAGGAGCTTAGGCAAGTTTCTTGACTAACATCCCCAAATATAGACAACCACCCCCTATGTTCAGATTCAGACTTTGTGAGGAGAGGTGGTATGGTGGCCCTTGTTGCATCCCCTCAGGAATCACCACTGGGGTATAATATCTTCAGCGTAGAGGTAATGAAGAAGTGATCCGTGCAGGAATGACACAAAATTAAGTCACCATCCTGTTTCCTAGCAACCTCTGCCGAGCATCTGTTAATAACGCTTTCCGGAATCAAGCTTTTCACTTCCAGGGCCTGTGAGGTGGCTCAGTGGGATAAAGGCATATGCTGTAAAACCTGATGACCCGAGTTTGATCCTGGAACCCACAGAGTGGAAGGGGACAAGCAACTCACATGCACTGTGGCATGCATGTGACCTTCCCCCAACACACACACACACACGCACGCACGCACGCACGCACGCACGCACTAAATTTAAAATAATTAGAAAAAAAATTCACCTCAAATTAGCGTTTGCTTCACCTTTATATTCTGCCCGTATCATCAGCCTCTTACTTTCAGCTACGTTCAGTATCAATGTAAGTTTAGGCACAGAAACAGCATCAAACAAACGTAAGGCCCTGTAGATATGTCAGCATTGAGTCAGTCACAGGCATGGCGGATGCATTGAAAGGTGAGAGAACATAGAAGCCCACGTAACCAAGTCCTCACTCAGGGCACACTTAGAGACAGATCACCAAGGTGATTGTATTAAAGACAGAGGCAGGACCACTCCTGTCTTCAAAGACTTCCAATGACTTACAAAACTGGAGAATGGATAACGTTTAAAAGTAAAAACGAGGCATGAAGGTAAAATTAAGTCTGCTTCAAACTGAGAGCAGCCAGAGAGAGACTTTGGCCAAATGGAACACAGATGTTAATTTAGCTTAGAGAAGCCACATGGGTAAGAGGTGAGAGAGGAACACAAGAGTTACAATGTATCTAAAGACAAGCTGTTGTGCCTAATGAAAGTTGACAAAGTTTGGCAGAGGTAGCTCAAAACAAAAGGAGGACTTGGAGTGGCTGGAGGCAGAGGCAGGTGGATCACTGTGAGTTTGAGGCCAGCCTGGTCTACAGAGTGAGTCCCAGGACAGCCAGGGCTATACAGAGAAACGCTGCCTCGAAAAAAACCAACCAAACCAACCAACCAACCAACCAACCAACCAACCAACCAACCAACCAACCAACCAAAGAAGAAGAGTATTTGCCACTATTGCAGAGGACTGAGGTTAGATTTCCCAAAATTCTCACAGTAGCTTATGAGAGCCTGTAACTCCAGTTCCCGGGCATGTGGAGCCCTCTTCTGGGATCTAAGAGTACCAGGAACACACAATATACACATACACAAAATACATCTGGGCAAAACATTCATATACACAAAATAAAAATAAATCTCTTTTTAAAAGTGGACTTTGATTATGGAGCTAAGAATAGAGCCATCATTCTACAGGGAAGAGAAGCCCAGAAGCCTCTTTAACCAGGCTGTAGCAAGACTATTTAAATGTTGAACTGATAGTAGTACAATGTACATGAGAAGTGTATGGGGGTGGGGAAAGACATCATTTAGGAGCCTACTAAACCGCTCTGTGCAAGAACAGAGGGTCCACTGAGGCAGAACCCTGGCTCCTCTCCTTTGACTATTGACACACTATCTCCTATTTCCGGTTTCACTCTATTGTATAGCAGACATCCGTAACGTGGACCATTCTGCATATTGCACTCAATAAATAACTGATTCTGTTAATGGGGATGTTCAGGAAAGCATATGAGAATCCTCAGAGCCTCTTTGGTAAAGAAAAGGCAACGGTGGCTGGGGAGATGTGAGAAGGCAGCTGGACTTAAAACAGAAGGGCTCACGTCTTAATTCCAGCATGACCTTTGGCCATTAAGAGTTCCCGGATAGAACTTGATGGGATTTAGAATCGCCCCTCAGACAAACCTCTGGGCATGTTTGTGAGGGGTCTTCTAGGTTACATTAACTGAGACAGGAAGACCTACGCTACTGTGGACATCACTCCATGGGCTGAGCTGTTCTCCGTGTCAGGAGATCGAGAACTGGGTACAAGCGTTCGTTCTCTCAGCTTCCTGACTTTGGACACAATATGACCACAGCCTCACACAGGATCCTTCTGTCACAACTTCCCTGCCACTGATGAACTGAACCTTTCAGACTGTGAGCTAAAATAAAGTCTTCTTTCTTCACATTTTTTAAAAATATCCATTTATTATTACTGTGTCTGTGTGATTTGTGTGGGGGAATACAAGTCCCACAGTACACAGAGGACAACTTGGAGGGCCTGGAGTATTAGTTCTACGACCCCCACCTTTAAGTGGGCTCTGAGGATCCAGTTCAGGCTCTGGGGCTTGCACAGTAAGTGTTCTCAGCTCTCTGGCCCTCAAGTTGCTTTCGTCAGGTATTTGGTCACAGCAACAAGTAAAGTAACCATTATAGCTGTCATACAGATAGAGGCAGTATAAAGACAGTCTCGGGCGTGCAGAGGAACTGGGAATTGCTATAGAGCAGTGGCAGTTCTCAATCTGTGAGTCTCGACCCCTTTGGGGGTCAAATGACCCTTTCAAAGAGGTCACCCAAGACCACCGGAAAGCACAGATATTTATATTATGATACATTATGATTCATAACAGTAGTAAAATTACAGTTATAAAGTAGCAATGAAAATAATTTTATGATGGGGGTCACAACAACATGAGGAACTGTATTAAAGGGTCGTAGTGTTAGGAAGGTTGAGAATCACTGCTACAGAGAATTTATTTCCTAGCTATATTTGTGAGTCTGAGGTAAGAGACTCAAGAATTCAAAGTTAGCCTGGGCTATATGATAATATTCTGTCTTAGGAAGAGGAACAAATAACAACTCATTTTCTGTTACTGTGTACAATGCATTCAAGTTTGAGAATAATCTATTTGTGGCAGACTTTAGGCAGCTAGGACTGAGGGAAGCCATCTTTAAGAAGGTAATGCCATGCAACTCCTAAGATTTCTTTTACCTCTAACATTTTATAACCAAGTCAAATTTTTTTACATTTTTTTAAGGTTCTGAACTCGGCTAGAGTGGTGGCTCAGCGATAAAGAGCATTGGTTGCCCTTCTAAGAGGACTTAAGTTCATTTCCCAGCACCTACATGTCAGCTCACAGTAGTTGTCCATGACTCTAGTTCAGGGGCATCCAATGCTCTCTCTTTTGGGTTCTGTGAGCACCTGGCATGTATGCAGACATAGTTGCTGTCAAAACACCAGACACATAAAAGTATGTGTGTATATGTGTGTGTGTGTGTGTTTGTGTGTGTGTGTATATACATATATACATATATATACATATATATTATATGTAATGTATTTTTTATAATAGGTTTTAAATTTAGTTTTCAAACATTATCAATAGCAATGGCATAGTGATGTGTTTTCTTTTAAATGTGTCAGGAGGGCTGAAGAGATGGCTCAGTTGCTACTGCTCTTCCAGAGTACCCTAGTTTGTTTTCCAGAATCCACCTTTAGTCGATTACAGGTGACTTACAACCACCTGTAATTCAAGCTCTAGAAGATTTGATACCCTCTTTTGGCCTCTGTGGGCCCCTACATACACACATACAAGTAGTAAAAACAAATCATTTTTTAGAAAAACAAAGGTTTCAGAAACTACAGGAATGTAATAAAGTTAAACCACTAAGTGAAAAGGCAGCATCAGATTTGACAGACTCTCCACATTCTTCTCTGTACCACAAAAATGCATGTACTGTACATGCTGTGTCTTACCCTATACTGAAATGAAACTGGACTTAATTCCCGGAAACTTTCATCTCCTTCATAAATAGATCGTAAAGCTTCTAATTCCATCTGAAAAAAAAAAAAAAAAGAAAGAAAGAAATCAATGGATTTTGTTGAGTGACATGCATGGATTAGAAAGACTTTAGCTTCAAATTCAAACCCACATTACATAGTTGATGTAAAATGTGACCTAACTTACTGGCCCCAAAATACGATTTATGTGTGCAAACCAACACAGTACCATCACACTAACGAGTACCTTAAGGGTAGGTGTTAGGCACTGCTAAGGATCTTTACATTGTATCAGCTCACTTCAATCTCACATAGGCCCCGTGAAGAGCATACTACCATACGTCCTTCTCCATACTGTAGAGGAAAGATTTAGGTTAAAACAACTTGAAAATATTTTGTCTTTTATCACTCTACTTACAGACACCTAACCTGGCTAGGAAGCACACAACTTCCCATTTGAAACAGAACATCAGTTATACCTGCAATCATTTCCACAGAGTACTAATACAAAGCGCAAGTAGTACACAACAGCCCCAAGAAAGAATACGAGGAAGAAAATTGACAGGATCAATTCAAGATGATCCAAGACCTAGAAGAGAAGATGCTAGTTAGTAACTCCTGCCTGGGATTTGTTCTCGGGATACTGTGGTCCGACAAACGAGAAATCTCCATCACTGTGAGTGACAGCTGAGTGTTGGAGAAACAAAGACAAAGGTATTCATTTTAGTTTCCAAAAAGATTGATGTCATTAATTCTACAGACTAAAGAGACTTGATTTATTCTCCATGTACAAATTTTAGGATTAGATCATAAATAAACAGGGCATGAGAGCTTAGAATTCTTAGGACCTAGCAAGCATTAGATGTAGCTAAACAGTCCTCAGCATAACTTTGTACTTTAAGAGAAAGGCACCAGATTCAATCTCTTTAGATTTCAGCAAAGCTCCCTTTACAGAACAGATCAGAACAAAAACAATACAAAACGACAACAAAAAAACATAGAAATCCAAACTGGATTCAAGAATGTCACTTCAGCCATAATCTCTTTCCATATTTTAGTTAATAACTTGGGCAGGAACAAAAAGAGAAGACAGGTTTGTTAAAATGTGTGGATGATAATTTGATGATGAGAAAATGAATCATGCTGATGAAAGAATTAAGACACCTCCCCCTCCAAAGTTCTTTTAAATCAAGTTATGACAATATTTAACAGGGTAAATATTAACATTATTACATTAAATTTAATGTTAATAATTTTTTTTTTTTTGGTTTTTCGAGACAGGGTTTCTCTGTGTAGCCCTGTCTGTCCTGGAACTCACTCTATAGACCAGGCTGGCCTCGAACTCAGAAATCCACCTGCCTTTACCTCCCAAGTGCTGGGATTAAAGGTGTGCGCCACCACTGCCCGGCTTAATGTTAATAATTTAATACCTAAATATATAAGGATGAGGGATGAACTACTTTGTATAAAGCTCTAAGTGGATGTTGACAGTCAATCAGAAGAGAGCGTGATGCAACAGTTTCAGCAGAAGCAAATGGAGATTCTGTTCACACACTCAAACCAGGACAGTAAAGGAACTAAGATACGTGAACAGAAGTGAGTCGGGAACATGATGCCTCTTTTGTTGTTTCATTTATTTTTCAAAACCAGCATTTTCCAAACCAGGTAGAAAACTATCTTCAAAGATCCAGACACCTATCACAAGGAAGAATAAACTTCACTGTTGAAATCAAAGATTCCTGGACTCTACCACCAAAATTTTGATTCATTAGGTCTGAGGTGGAGTCAGCTACCAGTGGTGATGGTGGTCCAGCAGTCAAGTGGTACACTGTGTTTTGCTGGGAGAAAGAACTATTTTCAAACTGACACATAACAATTTTATTTATTGGGGCTGGAGAGATTGCTCAAGAATTAAGAGCACTGCCGGGCGGTGGTGGCGCACACCTTTAATCCCAGCACTTGGGAGGCAGAGGCAGGCGGATTTCTGAGTTCGAGGCCAGCCTGGTCTACAGAGTGAGTTCCAGGACAGCCTGGGCTATAAAGAGAAACCCTGTCTTGAAAAAGAAAACAAACAAACAAACAAACAAAAAATTAAGAGCACTGGCTGCTCTCCAGAAAACCTGGTTCAACTTCTGGCACCTATATGGTGGTTCACAGCTGTCTAGAACTCCAGTACAGGGTATCCAACACCCTCTTCCGGCCTCTTTGGGTATCAGACGCCCAAGTGGTACACATGTATACATGTAGGCAAAACACTCATGTACATAAAAATAAAACCACCTTAAAAACTGTATTTATGAAAAACAATGCAGTCTTTTGATAAGTGCACCTATTACAACTATCACCTCCAATCTTCAAACATTGTCAATGAACCATTCAAAACCCTTCTAGCTATTATGAAATGCACAGGATACTTTAAAAAGAGTCATTCACTGAGTAAGTCATGAGACTTTCCTCTTCTCCATTACCTTTGTAGCCACTCACTAGTAGTCTCTTTCCCTTCCTCTATAGTCTCTTCCCTGGATTCATTAGTGCTTCAGTCACTGAACTGGTAAGAAGATTTCAGTAGGATATTCAGATATCAATTACTCTGTGGATGTGGGGGTCCTTTACGGAATATTTGCAACCTAGCTTCTATTAACACCCACATTGTCGATATGGTAACTTTTAAACAACATAGTCAAAATAAACAGCGAACTACTTACTACGAATCTCCTACTACACAAGGAGTCTGCCACTACATAAGATTTGTCTTCTTTGTTTGAGAAGGTGTTTCTGGAACTCACTCCTTAGAACCAGGCTGGTCTCAAACTCTGAGATCAGCACGCCTCTGCCTCCCTAATACTGGGATTAAAGGCGTACCCCACCACCGGGTGAGATGTATCTTCGAATCCTTATTCTATCAGTCAGCAAGCCGCCCTAGGATGTTCTAGCACTGTAGCCACTTTCCTTACTCATCTGGACACGTTACAGAGCTGGAAACTTCAATTACAGATGATTTATAGAATCCATTCCTTCCGACTTGGTTATTTGGCAAAACAACCAACCAACCAACCACCACCAATAACAACCACAACAAAAACCAAAGCACAAACTACAGAATTCTGATTGATATGTGGATACTCAAAACATTGTATATCCATTCAACAACAGACTGATGGACGACTTCACTAAGCATTATGGACAGAAACAGAAACACCAGGGTCATTCATTTTTCTCCAGAGATTTTACTTACTCAACCCTCTCTACGAGACCACAAGTTTTACAATTTAAAGGCGTTTAGATTTGAAGACAGACTAACTCGACACACAATCGCTAAGCCACACAAGGGATTTAAGGGCGGCCAAGCGCACTAGGGTCCTGGACCAAGGACACTCATCTTAGCAAGGAAATCTAGAGAGACCTCCGGGTTGCAAAAAAATGACAAATGAGGGAAGCGGGAGGCCGAGTCTCACGTGACCATTCATGCATGCTGGCCATACGGTAGTCCAGTGCTATCTGGCAGGGGATCTACCAACGTGGGACATCCGGACAGGCGATCAAGGCTCTCAGCGGGAAGGACACGTGCGAAGTCCGGGTGCTCCACGTTGGGACCTAGGCCGGGGCAGGGGTGTCCAGTCCTGGCTTCTCACCTCCTGGTCCTCGTTGGTACCCATCGCGCCGGGCGCACGGCGTTCGCTACCGCAAAGAATGGGGCGGCAGCGGGCGGGAGGCCGGGGCACCCCGTTTCCGCGCCTCGGTCTAGGGAAACCTTCCTTGCAGCCGTGGGTAAGACCTCGCGCGCTCCCGATCCTCTGCAGCGCCAAGCCACCCGCAGTCGGCTGTGGGCCGGGAACCCAGGATCGCGTTATGCGTGATCGGGAACCTGGATCACGTTAGGGGACACCCAGACCTCTTGACCAGCTACTGATGGGCGGTGACGAGGAAGCCCCGCCCCTCTCACGATCGCTTTTCCTATTGGCTCCTTCTTTTTCCGCCCCCAACTCTTTCTCCTCTAGGAAATGGAACGCCTTCCTAACAAGGAACCCCGTTCTATTCCAGGACTGGTATGGAGTACTGTCACTCAAACCCAGGAAGTGCTTCCTGTGCCAGCGGAGGCGGGGAAAAGGAAGTCTCGCCTTCTGTCGCCCGGTCTGGGGCTGGGGCAGTCGGTTGTCGGCGGCCGAGTTTCTAGACGCCCCTGCTTGGCTCTCCTAGCTCTTTCGGGGCTGACGGTGACTCACCGCAGCTGCAGCGGGTCCAGGGAGTGCGGCCTGGGTGAGTTGGGCCTAGAGACCTTCCAAGCCAGGCCATCCCGGCTGGCCTAGGGGCCTGCGTTTCCCCTTGGCGTCCACGGTTGCTATCTTGGCGTTTCTCCTTCATCTGCAAAGAAGAACGCAATGATTTCTAGAGAAGTGGGAGTGGTGGAGGAAAATTTTTCCAGTTTCTAGGACTTTGAGGTTATTCTCCTTTCCCAGTTGCAGCTATTGGAGCCGAATGCTGCGACCCTAGGGACAGTCTTTTCGATCTTCATTTTGCTCTTTTTGCAGTTGGACGTCTCTGAATCCTTGCTTGTTAGCGCTTTGCATCCCGAATCACCTGTTTATTGATAGCCGTCTTATTTAGTGAATACTTTGACTGGCTTAGCTTGTTTCTCTTCTATGATAGCTTGCACTAACCAGGTGATCTGGTGCTCAGGACTTACTTTGTACTTGTCCATATTCCCTTCCTGTCAATAGTTTGCTTGGTTTCTCCATTATTTTCCGGGAAATCAGGAAGCGATTTCTTTCCTGTGTGTCATTGAAATCTATTCAGTCAACATTGTCCTGTTCCATTCTCCTCCTCCTCCTCTTTCTTCTTCTCCTTCTCCTCCTTCTTCTTATTTAATTTTCCTACAGCGTAAGAAGGACCATTGCAAGTGGCCAAGCTTGTAAGGTAGAATAAGGCAGGGATTGCTGGTGCAGTTTTCATGATGTTGTCGGAACAGATTTGCTGTAATCAAGAACTACACTGTCAGCTGTGAGAGACAGTAGCCAAGGGTGAGAGGCAGTAGCCGAGGGGGCGTGGGGCAATAGAGCATTGAAATTGGCTAGTCTGAACTGAGGGTGTGCTGTTCCTATAAAATACACACAGGGTTTGAAGACGATGCCCAAGTAGGTTTTTACAAGTTCATCAATAACTTACAATAAAACCCCACATCTTTCTTTTTCTTTTGTTGGGGAGGGGGGTTCGGGATGTGGGGACTGTTTTTGAGATCTCCATAGCCCTGGCTGGCCTGAAACTGCCCTGTAGACTGTGGAATTTGAAGTAATCCTCCTGCCTCTGCTTCTTGAATGCTGGGTTTTCAGGAGTTTGCTTTCTGAGCCAACTTCTCTTTTGCCTTCTAACATAACTGCTGGAAATTTTAACATTATTTTTGTGATTTCGTACTATATACCTCTCAGGCTGTACTAATTAAAAAAACTTTGTAAGTTAATGCTACTTCCCCTTATAGCCATTCTGTATTCAAGGGCCACAGCTATTTCTTTGGAGCCTCTAAGATTATCAAGGGAAAAGGCCCTTTCACACTCTTGTCTAGGCTGTTTGGTATTAGGCAAGTGTGGTAGCCGTGTTGTGGTTTGATCACTTCTATTTCAATCTTCATCTTCAGTTCCCCAGAAGCACGGGATTTTTCTGCCCTCATAGCACAGCCCTTCCCAAAAGTCTTTTAAAGCGATTTTGCAAGCTTCTGTTGTAGATACATTATTTCTGGCAGGCTTTGCAACTCATGCTTCAATATCCATTGTTCCTGTAGCATCAGAGCATGAGGTAGCTAATTAGTAAAGGTAATTAGCTTTCCAGTTAGAAATAATCCACATTTTAGGGATCAAGTGGCATTTGACACTTCAACTTTCCCAGAGATTACGTTGTCTAATGTGATGATGACATTCACTTCTTTAAAGATGCATATGATAAATCCTTTCAGAAATAAATTGTTTTAAAAATATAGTGACACTTTTGTTTGGAATAAGCACATTTTCATATAATCATTTTTTTAAGTCCGTGCATACCTGCATGTATTGTAGAATTAGCTAAAGGACACAATACAAATATTCCTAGGAATTTCCATTCATTACCAGCGTCTCTTTTAGAGATTTCCCTTTACCTATTACATCATCCTATATTATGAAAAATTAAAAAAAAGCAGCTACTAAATAATGCACACTTTACATGAATTATATTCTAAGTATTGAGAAACTGGATAATTGTAATTCCAAAGAAATCAGAGAAAGTTGTATTTTTTAAATATATGTAAGTCAATAATTATTTTTTAATTTGTCTGAAAATTGAGTACAACCTTTTCTGTGAAATTAAAAATAGCAATGCAATTAGTAATTTTAATAAGTCTGACTTAGTAATTAAAGTTTTCACTTTGCTCTCTTCTATTTGCTTGACTGTGTATATGCAGAGACTTTTGTCTTTTTGCAAGGTTTATAATTAGATACTGATGTTGGTTTTTTAAATTAATTGTGACTATCTTGATGTTTGTATTTCAGATTTTTCTGTGACGTCTCAAACATGAGCCCCACACAGTGGGACTTCCCTGTGGAGTTATGTTGCCGGCCTATGGCTTTTGTTACACTTACTGGTCTTGATGTGGTATATAATGCTGTCCATCGAGCAGTCTGGGATGCTTTCTGTGCCAATCGGAGAGCTGACCGGGTACCAATTTCTTTCAAGGTGCTCCCAGGCGACCATGAATACCCCAAATGTAGATCAAAGGTAATGTGACTCAGGATCACTTGCATTCATTCATAGCCCCTGTCCTCTTCCTCCTTCCAATCCTGTTCCAATTATGTGTACTCCTGAGTTTATCAGGGTAGAGGTTACCATTGTGCCTAAGGAAAAGCAGGTGTTTTCATGTATTGTGGAGTATATGCATATGTTTAATAACACACCATTTAACCTCAAGAGGACTAATTGCAATGCTTCTATACTATGAGCTTACATTTTTTTTCTTTTTAAAAATTAATTTATTGTGTGTGTGTGTAGGTCTGATGACACCTTGTAGTGTCAGTTCTCTTCCAATAGTGTGGGTCATGAGGATTGAACTCAGGAACTCCTAGGCTTTGCAGAAAGCGTCCTTTCCACCTACCCCCCTCCCACCTCTCTTTTAATTAAAATACCCCCTCCCTCCATGTCTCCATTATTTTAACAGTCTTCTACTAGGAAGATGTCACATTACCCATTCACCATTGCTGGCTTCATGTGGAACCCACGGCCTTTGCAGTTAGGCTCAGCTCCCCCATTTGTAAACCAGTTTTAGTTTATCAACGGGGAAGGTGAAATGCTGTCAGGGCAGAGTGGATCTTAGATCATTTTACTATTTTACAGGAATAGAAATGGGAATGGGGAAGAGTTGAAGCAGACCAGCAGACCTGGAAAAATGGCTGAGTACTTTTTTCAGGAACTGAGATCTTTGGCATTATTGAGACTTTTTTTTTCTTTTTGGTTCTGGCCATTCTTCCTCTCATGGGAAGTGTAGTGTTTGTGTGATTGGGGTTCCATTCTGACTTAGACACTTACACCTTTAATCAATTTCTGATGGGCTGACTCTCATCTTAGAAATGGGCAGTGTGCATACCGAATGAGGCAAAGGCATGTGAAGTGCCTGGCACTCTGGAGGCGGCATCTGCTGCTTTTCTTACCAGCTAACTTCTTTTGTCACGGTTGGCAGAGAACTTCGTATGAGTGGTACATCCCTAAAGGGATCTTAAAGACCGGCTGGATGAATAAGCATCTGAACCTGGTGCCAGCGTTGGTGGTCGTGTTCTTTGAGCTGGACTGGGACGAGCCTCAGTGGAAGGAAAAGCAGTCTGAGTGCGCTACCAGAGTGGAGATTGTCAGGTACGTTGCTGTCTGGCCACAGCGGTGCTCACAAGTGTCTGTTCTCGAGGGACTTACATGTTTGTGATATGGAGACTGAGCTCACAGCCTTGTGTTCAAGGCCAGCACTCTAACCCTGAACTGATTCTCCTCAGCCCTGTTCACAACACCTTTTGGAAGTAACCGAATAGTGTTTAAACTGCAGTGGTTACTCTGAGATTGTTAACCTTTGAAACTCGTTCTGTTTCTAAGAGGTGATAGTAAGTATTAACAATATTGTGCCCAGGATGTAAAGGAATTTAGAAGACAAGTTGGCCTGGAGTTCCAAATTTTCATCTTAAAGTATGATCTCTTTGGTGATAACAGTTTATATCAGGCCCCGTAAGATACTTTTCTCAACATTGCTTTAAAGATATATCTTATTTGTGTGTGTGTGTATACATGTGTATGTATATTCAAGTGGATGTGTGTCTGTGCCTATATATCCTGGAGATTGTGACGACTTAGGGAAATGCATCATATCCCCAGGAGCTGGAGTTGTAGGCTGTTGTGAACCACCCCTCAGTGGTCGCTGGGGCTTGAACGCTGGTCCTGTGGAAGGACAGCAAGAGCTCTTAAATGCTGAGCCATCTCTCTGTGGCTTTCATAAGACACTCACAAATTGTTTATCATTGTCGTCTATGTATATGATTTGTATCTGTGATCATGTGTGTCATGACGTGTGGCCGTCAGAGGACAGCCACCGAGAGTTTGTTCCCTCCTTCAACCTCACATGTGTTTGGGGCTCTACCTTAAGTTGCCAGTCTTACAAAGCAAGCACTTTCCCTCTGAGTGTCTCACTGGTCCCCCCCCCCCCCGCCCCACGCTTCATGATTATGTAGTTCTAACATCATTATTCCGGACGATAATGTATCACTATGAAAAAGTAAGTTAACTAATTTTTATATAGAAGTGGATGTTAAAATTTCACGTTAAAGTGGTCTTTACATCCATTCATGTATTTGGGAGGCAGGTCACGTGTGTGGTCAGAGAGGAGCTTGGGAGAGTCGGGTCTCTGCACTGTGTACGGTTGGAGAGTCCAACTCAGGCCATCTCACTGGACCTGATGCTTCCTTTAAAGCAGGTTTTAGTAAGATTATAAGCTTGGTGTGAGGCTGTCTTTTGAAAGTGGAAGTCATTATGGGAATGCAGTCACTTGAAGGGCAAGATTTATTCTGATCTTAATGGGTTTTTAGTTGAGATTTTTTTCTGTTGACTTATAAAGTTTGTGAAATAGTTTATGTAAAACAAGTTCATGGCTTTATTATATTGTTTTTTTCCATCACAGGCAAAGTTTGCAAGGGAGAAACACAAAAGTTGCGGTCGTCCTGATTCAGAAGAAAACGCCTTTACCCCCAGGTACAGAAGGGTCACTTATTGCTTTACTCTCCAATTGCTAGTCCAGGAGGTAGATCTTACTTAATTTTTAAATGTTTTGCATGTTCATTTGGAGGGAATGACAGTATGCTAACTTTTAAAGGCACCAATAAAAGGCCAGAAAGATGGTTCAGTAAGTAAAGGCATTTGCTGATGGCCTGAGTTCAGTCAATTTCCAGAACCCACTTGGTGTAAGGAGAGAATCAATTCCTAAAAGTTGTCCTCTGACCAATACAGATGTACTGTGTCTCAGGTGCACACACACATACACACACACACGCACACACACACACACACAAATAAATGAATGTTGTAACAATGTACAAACACTTGTAGGTAATAACCAATGGTGTTTGCAGATGCTGAGTCCTACTTTCTCTTCTGCTTAGCCCCTTGTTTACATGTACCAGTTGACAGAACAGTTAATGCAGTTGCTGCCAAAGTGTTATTTACTTGGCTGATTCTATTTAAAATGTACTCTTACACAAAGAAACGAGAGATTTGTAATATTGTCCAGAAAAATTTCCTTTACAAGATTCTTTTTTTTTTTGTTTTTGTTTTTCGAGACAGGGTTTCTCTGTGTAGTCCTGACTGTCCTGGAACTCACTCTGTAGACCAGGCTGGCCTCGAACTCAGAAATCTGCCTGCCTCTGCCTCCCAAGTGCTGGGATTAAAGGTGTGTGCCACCACTGCCCAGCTACAAGATTCTTTTCTTTAGCTTCCCAGCTTTTCATAATCCAGAATAATTTTTCTTGCCATATTGAGCATTCTGAGGTCTTTGGAAACTTTTTTCATGAGTAAATGCTTCCATTTGTATGTATGCTTTGGAACAGCCATGTGATATGGCATGGGCATTATTTGTCCCATCTGTTGTGCTCAAGAGAAAATTCTACAGTATTTTCCAGACAAATATGAACACATTAACTTTTAGGAGCCCTAAATCCTCAGGGAGAGCAGAAGCCCTGCTGCCATGGTGATGGACCTGGAACTTTATTCCTGATTTCAAACTTGAGTAAATTTGACTACAGAAAACTGACACCTTTGCTTTGTCTCTGTCTGTCTGGTGCTTGTCCACAGGAGAAGATGTGATTGCGTCTGAGCGGGCTGCGGCTTTATGCAATGTGTGTGAACTCTCAGGCAAGTCTCTGTTTGTGCTGCCCCACACTGACCACCTTGTGGGCTACATTATAAGGTAAATCAGAGTTGTTGTTGTGCTTAGGAAGGAAAAGTTGGTAGCTTAGACCCTTCTATTTACAAACAACAACAGCATTCATAAAATCATTGTGGATGGTGAAGTTCAGCTAGGCAGACCTCTAAATGAATGGACTGAAAGGAGTCTGAGGCCAGCCTGGTCTACATTAGCAAGTTCCAGTCTACCCGGGGTTCTAGTAAGACCCTGCGTCAAAAACAAGCAACCCTTGCCTGATACCCAGGCTATCTCTAACTATTTAACCTGTTTTGCTTAAAATCAGGGAAGAGTTTAATTCCAAGTAACCAGGGTTTTTGCTTTAAAATTGCATTTATTTATTAATGACTCAGGGGACAGGGACAAGCACATACTACAGAGGTCAGAGGACAAACTAGGGAAGTCAGGTCTGTCCTTCTGTCGTGTGGGTTCCGTGCAGTTGTTTGGCAGGGCAGCAAGCAGCTTCCTTTGCTGAGCCATCTTACCAGCCCAAAGTCTAACTTAGTTTAAAGGATTAACCGGGCCAGCTTGTCCTCAGGTCTGTTCTGCTTGATTACAAGCATGTTTTATCTGAGTCCACAGCCATTTTGAAACTGAAAGGAGCTTGTCTTCGACATTTCCTGAGGTCTTAGAGATGGAACTAACTTCTTTGAGACAGTTATCTCTTCATCACATGTAAAGATAGTTCTGGCTACAGTTAGGCATTTCACAGACTCCCTTAGTGTTCCTGCTTGTAAAAGTTTAAGGACAAGTTGGAGTTAACATTTGTTTCAAGATTAAAATCTAACTTTATTTTCGTATTTTAACATTTTTCTTTGAAAATAAAAAATTTTAACCTAGAAAATCCAATTTAAAATACATTATCTGCCAGGTATGGTGGCAGATGCTTATAATCCAAGCACTTAGGAGGCAGAGGCAGGAGGGTTGCCAATTTGAGGCCAGTTTGGGCTACACTAGTGAGTTTAAAGCCTTCCAAGACTACATAGTTAGACCTTGTCTATAAAGAAGTAAATAAAATATTTGATTTTAAAATTTGTCTTATTCTGTTTTCCTCAGATATGGTAAAAAAATCTTCTGAACATAGGTTAAATTTAGGTTTTACTCTGAGGGGAACCCTTGGCATCGGTTGCCTGTTCTTTGCCCATGGACTCACTTTTCTTTCATGCCCTGCACTGTTACCTCTGACCGTCACGTTCCCCAGTACAGTGTGAACTGCTTACTGGTCTCATGCAGATTTCTTATTGGTGTTTATATAATCTCAGAATTGTACGATGAAGCAAGACTTTAATAACATTAATGTTATTTCTATCTCGTTTGCCAATTATTTTTATTCTCCCCAGATGTTTTCTCATTCTTTTAAACAATAAATATTAAAAAAATAAAAACCAGTGAGATCACCTAATGTATATAAATTATAAGTTGTTTTTTTAATCTTGTATATCCTGTGTTGTAAATGGTTTTCAGTGGTATTAGGGGAGGTCTTATTTTAGACTTTCCCAAGAAATTTAGATTATACACTGCTTTGTTTTTCATCTTAATTATGAAGTACAGTGTCGGTCAACAGATTTGTTTTCAGTTGTCAACAAATACTGTTCTTAAAAAGACTTTGGGCCGGGCGGTGGTGGCGCACACCTTTAATCCCAGCACTTGGGAGGCAGAGGCAGGTGGATTTTTGAGTTCAAGAGTTCGAGGCCAGCCTGGTCTACAGAGTGAGTTCCAGGACAGCCAGGGCTACACAGAGAAACCCTGTCTCAAAAAACCAACCAAACAAACAAACAAAAGAAAGACTTTGCTTTTGAGTAACTATTTCTTTTTTTTTTTTTTTTTAACAGATTAGAAAATGCGTTTTATGAGCATGCCCAGACCTACTACTACACTGAGATCAGAAGAGTGAAATCTCATAAGGAATTTTTGAATAAAACAACACACCAGGTACACGTAAAAATATTAACCGTTACTGGTTATTTTTGAGATGATTCTTATTTCTTCAGTACTGATATTTTAAATTGTTTACTACTTTAAAAGTATTTTTTAAACTCTTAAAAATGAATTTGTTTTCAAATTAGAGTCTTTTGCCCTTACTTTCAAACTCTTACCTGTAAGGGCTCTTGGAAGCCTTTTTAATCATGTCTTTTTTTCTTGGGATCATTGTGAATTTAATTTTTAATAACTTCCTTCATATTTCAATGAATCATAATAAGTATCATTTTACCTTTAAAGTATGTATGTAATCATTCTTTATTCACTCTTTTGTTTGTTTTTAATCAGCTTTTGTTTGTTAGACATCAGTTCAAAATAGCTTTCTTCAGTGAGTTGAAACAAGATACCCAAAACGCCCTGAAGTAAGTTTCTGTTTTCAAACTAAATCTTTATTAAAATCTTGATGTTAAAGATCCTATACAAACAGCCGTCTATCTCAGTTTCTTAATTGTAAGATGTTCATGTCATATTCACATACTTAATAAGTAGTTTCTTCCATTTTAATCTTGGAAATAAATTGTAAAACTTGCTGGTCTAACTTAACTAAATTGCACGATTTAAAGACAGCAATGTCACAATTGTCCTAATTTTTCTATTTGCATATTCAGTAAAATTTTTGCAACTAATTTTCAAAGTATAATAAATATTAAATATTCATTTACTTAATTCAAATAAGATTTTTATCAATTGTTTAGTTTATCACATTATGTTCTATTTGAAGGTTAGTTGCAGGTGTATTGACATGCTCAAACATTTTATTCCTTTGTTTACCAACTGCAGTTTAGTAAAACTTGACTTCTTTGTGTGTTAGCTCAGATTTTTGAATGTCTAATGGCGATGTGGAAAGGGATTTAAAGAGGAATCATTTATTTATTTATCTTGTAATTGAGGAGGTGGAGAAGAATAGCAAGAGATCAAAATTCTAGCTGGCTGTAATGTAGTTTGTTTTTATTCGTGGATGGGTGGTATCAGGTAAGACCATCAGTTTTAGGTCTGCTAGCAACTGATGCTGTAGAGGAAACCACTGACTGGCGAGAAGAATACACTTTGCCTGTGGACTTGCTACACTTTCTGATTGTCTCCCTTCTCAGGCTGGTTTCTTTCCTCAGTTTCCTCACTAGATGTGCTGAGGAGGCTCTCCTCTTCAGCCTCTGAGATTAGTATTATTTACTTAACCTTCCTTTGTACCTGGCCGCAAAACACTTTTTTACTTGTTCTGTCTCGTAAACCATCATTGCTACAATTACTTTTCATTGAGAAACTTACAGTAATACTTAAAAACAAACAAACAAAAGACAAACCTTATCTGGACATGGTGGCATATACCTGTAATCCTTAGATCTGGGGAGGCCAGAGCAGGAGGACAAACAAGTTCAAGGCCAGCCTGGGCTGAGTAACAGGCCTGTCTCAGAAGTACACACACACACACACACACACACACACACACATATACACACACAATTTATTAGCAATGCTGTTTTTGTTTTTTGTTTTGTTTTGTTTTGTTTGAGACAGGGTCTCTCTATGTAGTCCTGGCTGTTTTGGAATCCATGATATAGAGCACTTTGGCCTTGAACCCAGTGATTCACCTGCCTTTGCCTCCTTAGTGCTTTGATTAAGGGTATGTTGCCACACCTGGCAAACAATGTTTATTTTTTAGTGTAATTCTAGATAACCGTCCAATTTGACCTCCATTTTCAACCTGTTTTCTACTCGTTGACTGGCTAGTTAGTAATAGAACAGTGCACAGTAGGATGAGTCTTTTGTTGTGAAGTCATTGATTGGTAATCAACAGATAATTCTTAGAGCATTGGAGATTGATTGATTGATATATATATATTTATATATATATATATTCTTATTGAATTGTTGAGTGGTTAGGAATGTTACATAAATATTGTCTGTTATAGTAATATTGTTTTTAGGAATCTTAAACATTCATTTATATCATAATTAACCACCCTCCTTGTGTTTATATTAGGAATTATAGGACTGCCTATAACCTTGTACATGAATTGAGGGCCCATGAAACTAATATTCTGGAAATTAAGACGATGGCAGGATTTATAAACTACAAGGTATAGTTCTGTTTTGAAATAAAGGACTTTAAATGTTACCTTTTTAAAATGCAAAACTCAAAATCAGTTTCTTGATCCATAAAGGTGGTATTTAGTGAATTATGTTCTTCTTTTCGATGTCCTTTTACTCAAGAATGGCTTTGAGTCTCAGCAGCCTCATCGTAAGAGTTGTATTTTAAATGTATAGATATTGAGTATTAAAACTTGAGAGTGTTGCAGTGTTTGTAAGAGAAGGGAGTAGTAAGAAGAGAGCCGCCTTTTGTTGAATTTTAAGAAATGAATTTTAAGAATTTTAAAAACGTGACAAGTGTGTAAGCTTTTCTTGGCTTCATGACTCCACCATAGAAAAGATACATCTGTCCACTTGAGTGGGCTGTGTTTTGTTTTTGGAGACTCGGCATCACTAGTGCTGCATAAACTGGCCTCCAGCTCCAGGGCTCCAGTGAAGCTCTTGCCTTAGCCTGCCAGCCGAGTGCCTGGACTACAGCGTACACTGCCACTGCCGGCTCAGCTCACTTAGAGAAAACCTAACTGGTGTCCGAGCATTTTATGGTTGTGTATAGTAGAGATGTTTCTGTTTGTCCTGTGTCCATCTGTCCCACTCCACCCCTGTGCTGTGGCTGTTCCCTCCTCCCCCACTTCTCAGGGACAAGGCTATATTGTTTCCCCACTCACCTTTAAAGATGTCTGCTACCAGAAGGGTGATGGATAGTAGAGAACATATTTTTAGTGAGCACAAATCTCAAAGTGGCTATTCCCCTACCTGACAGTCCTTTTTAGGAAATTTTCTTGCCAATTACAGTAATATCTGTAACTCAAAATCTGTGGGTACTTACTATATTTTCAAATAGGAATATATTGGAAATAAGCCAATAGGTGATTGGTTATATAAATTTTTATGGGACGTTAATACAATTAAGAATGTGGCAGCTCCATCCATTGAAATGACAAGGTAGCTGTGTGTCTTAGTTTGGTTTCCATTACTGTGATAAAAATCATAACCCTGGTTTGTAACCTTCCTACTGCTGCAACCCTATAATACAGTAATAGATTCCTTATGATTGGTGACCCCCAACTGTAAAATTATTTCATTGCTACTTCATAACTGTAATTTTGTTACTGAATTATAAATATCTGTGTTTTCCAGTGGTTTTTTAAGGTTTATGAACCATTTCTAATGGTTACCAAAGGAGTTGTGGCCCACAGGTTGAGAGCCATTGCCTTAACTAAAAGCAAGCTGGGGAGGAAAGGGCTGGTTTGCATTAAATATCTCAGGTGCAGCTCACAATCCATTGAGGGAACATAGGAGGCAGGAGCTGATGCAGAGGCCATGGAGGAGTGCTGCTTTCTGGCTTGCTCTTCATGGCTTGCTCAGCCTGCTTTCTTACAGCGCTGAGGACCGATAGCCAACCTAGGAGTGGTACCACTCACAGAAGGCAGTCAAGAAATTGCCCTGAGGCTTGCTGGCTGGCCATCTGATGGAGGCGTTTTCTCAGTGAAGAACTCTTCATAGATCTGTCTAGGTTTGTGTCAAGCTGACAAAAGCCAGCTAGCACAATATGGTACTGTTAGTTGAAGAATGTAAGGTATAACTCAGCATAATTAGCCTGATGCCACATGGCTCCCAGTTTATAAATGTGAATACACACACACACACACACTTATCTGTTTGTAGACTATACTGCCTATATGCTAAACACTAATTGCGTCTGGAAGAAAAATTCCATGACTGAAGGACATGATGGATAATAAGCTTGTGGGGTTGGGAGCTGGCTTAGTGGGTAAAGAACTTGTGGCACAAGCATGAGGTCCCAGGTTCAGATCCTCAGAGCCCACATAAAAGCTGGGTGTGGGCCGTGTTCCTGTAACTGTAGCACTGCCTGTCTGGCTGTATCTGTGAGCTTCAGGTTCAGTGAGAGACCCTGTCTCCTAAGTGAGACGGAGAGCAGTAGAGCAAGATACTGTGAAGTAGTCTTCTGGCTTCTGCATCTGCACACAGGTATACATGCACACCACACACACATACTGCACATACACACATATGCACACAGGTATACATGCATACCACATGCACATACATCCTACACATACACACACGTGCACATACAGGTATACACGCTTACCACACACAATTATCCTGCACATACACACATGTGCACACACAGGTATACACACATACCACACACACACACATCCTGCACATACACACACGTGCACACACAGGTATACACACATACCACACACACACATCCTGCACATACACACACGTGCACTCATACACATAAAACATACAAACAGATTGTTTTTTATATATTTCTTTGTACCTAAGAAATAAAATTGAAAATTGTTATAAGCGTATGGGAATAAACGTAGGCTTTACGTCTTTGGGTTTCCATTTACCCTCAGTTCGTGTAGATTATACCATTTTTGAAACAATGTAGAGTTAATGTTCCAAGAAAAAACCATTTAGAAATTTTCTGTTATCTTTTTTGATGTATAAGCAACTAAACATCGATTATGCAACAGAAATATTTAGTTTTCTGGCAATTCTAATACTCAAAGTCAGTCTCTCCTGTATAAATTCCTTTTGGAAATAGTACAGCCCATTAGTATATTCTTTTGATGTAATTTTTAAAAATTCTACATTTTGAAAAGCTTTTGTAAGGTGTAGGACAAATTTAGTATATTGAATTATTTTACTTCATTTCTCAAAGCATTCTGATGGAGAGAATTCTATATTACAGAGAACTTCAGAGAGGGAAATTATGTAGTCTCTTATAGTTTTCTTTTTTTAATGTGTATGAATGTATCTTTAGACTTCTCTTATTTGGGGATTTATATTTTTCCAGATCTGTAGACTGTGTTTTCAGCACAATACCCCATTGGATGCGATTGCTCAGTTTCGAAAACACATTGACTTGTGTAAGAAAAAAATTGGAAGTGCGGAGCTGTCCTTTGAGCACGCTGCGTGGATGTCGAAACAGTATGTTTAAGTTGCATTTTCGTAATATTTTGAAAATAGAATGTGGGACTGGAAGAGGTGGCGTCACCTAAGGCCTTGGCTCTAAACTGAATTGAGTGGGTCTTTCTCTTACAGAGTTGGGTTTTAATGATATTTCCTAGGTGTGTATGTGAGAATAGTGAATATCGATTGGTGTGATTTCTTGATAGAAATTGGGAATTTATGGTACTATCTTTTACATTCAGCATGTATTCACCTGACTTACACTTGGTGTTTACATTCTGAAAATGTAAGAATGCACAAAGCAAAATTACCACTTGATAGAGCTTAGTGTTTGTCTCAGTCCGGGTTCCTCTTGCTGTGATGAAGTGCTATGACCAAAAGCAGCTTGGGAGCAAGGGCCTTGTTTCATCTGGCACTTCCAGGCCACCGCCTGTCACTGAGGGAAGTCAGGTAGAAACTCAAGACCAGAACCTGGAGGCAGGAGTGAAGCAGAGAGCAGGGAGGAGTACTGCTACTGCTTGTTCCTCATAGCGTACTCAGCCTGTGCTCTTCACCCAGGACCACCCTTCCAGAGCAACCGCTCATCAAGAAAATGCCCCACAGACTTATGGGAAATCTGTCGGAAGTGTTTTCCCAGTTGAGGTTCTTCTTCCCATGTAACTCTCGCTTGTATCAATTTAACAAGAAAAACAAACAGGACCAATGACTTGTCAACTTGACACACCAGCATATCACTGTTAAACTGTAACCCTTCATTTCTTTTTTATATTAATACCACAATATGAAACACACATACTTTTAAAAGTTGTTTTTTTCAAAAGCACTTTTATTTATTTATTTATTTATTTATTTATTTATTTATTTAATGTATGTAGGCTCTCTTCATATACACCTACGTGCCAGAAGAGGGCATCAGATCCCATTACAGATGGTCGTGAGCCACCATGTGAGTGCTGGGAATTGAACTCAGGACCTCTGGAAGAGCAGACAGTGCTCTTAACCGCTGAGCCATCTCTCTAGCTCCGAAGGTCACAGTGTTTAAAAATTCAAACACTTGAAACATACAGTCCCTTTAAAAGAAAAATTCAAACTTTCTCTAAAATAGCCGAGGTCTTCTATCTGTCAATTTTTATAAAGTAAGAAACAAGATAAAAATTGTCTTATCTCAAGGAAGAATCAGGGCAGTCACAGTCAACTTAAAGTAAAACCAAAGCCCAGCAGTATAAGGAATTCAGGACCCACTCCTGACCTGGGTTCTCCAGAGCCTGGGCCCTTCCCTTCCCCCACAGCACACATGGCCTGTCCCATAGGCTCAGGCCACCTCCACTCCACAGTAGCTGCTGTTTTGGGTGGTTGTCCCATGGTCCTGACATCTCCAGAATACTGGGGTCTCTACTGCAAATTGGCTGCATCTTCATCAGAAGCCTCTTGTGGTGTCACACTACAAGCCTCAGTCACTCTCTGACTTCTTCGTAAACCTGGTAACCTCGAAGACGTCACCTGGTTTGGCTGCCGCTTGAGATGTGGCCTTGGCCTCCTTTGGACCCCAGCTGGTATAAGGTGACCCTGGGAACATGTTCCCAGAAGATTTCACCTCAGTGAAAATGTCTCCTCTTAATCACACTAATTTCTTGCACCAGCTGATCAACATCTGTTTATTTAAAGCACCAGGTTAGCGCTAGTGCTGCAGGTCCTTTGCTAGTCACAGCTGATTCTTCAGTGATCAACTCTTACTCAGCAGTGTGAGATAAGCCTACCCTTGCCCCACAAATTGTTCTTTTGGTCATGGTATTTTATCACAGCAATAGAAAAGAAATCCTTCAGGAATTGGTACCAGCTTCATGGGATAGTAACCTGCTCATGTTATCATGCAATGGATTGTGAAGGCTTTTGGAACTTTGGGAAGAAAAAACCTGATGTTCAGTGCTAGGCTTTGAAAGGTAAGTGTTGAGAGATATGCAGACGATGGGGGTCTGAGAGTTGATCACTGAGGGAAGTCAGGGCTGGAACTCAAGGCAGGAACAGAAGCAGAGAGCAGGGAGGAATGTAAAGTTACTTCCAGAAATTCGCTTATTCCAGAAGAGTGAGGGTTAAGATCTAATACAGTGGTGCAGTCATGGGCTTGAGTTAAACACATCACAGATGACTTAAAGAATGTGCATGCATATCACTTATCAATAGTCTATGTTCTTATTTATAAATAATTAACTGTTATTCAATAGCCTTATTTACGAATATAGTGTATTAGTGGATGGTTTCCAGAATAAATAATTAGAAGTAAGCTGCTTTTTCCTCCTCTTCACTACTCATTCCTTTTATCTCTTGGTTTGTTCTCTTTAAGATTCCAGGCCTTTGGAGATTTATTTGATGAGGCCATTAAGTTGGGGTTGACAGCTATTCAAACACAGAACCCTGGTTTCTACTATCAGCAGGCAGCTTACTATGCCCAGGAGCGGAAACAGCAAGCAAAAGCCCTCTGTAACCACGATGTAAGTCCTGGCTTGCATCACCTCTCGCTCAGGACACTGATTACCCTCCCTTAAGAGAAGCTCGGGCTCATGGTCTTGGGTCCCCCGCCTTGTCTTTGAATATCTTTTGAATTTTTATGACTTTCTAGTTTTAACTCAGGAATTTCATGAATAGGGTATTTCTATTTATGTTTTGCATGTATTAAGATTTTAAGCTTTGGATTATTGTAATTTGAATATAGTATTTTAATAGATGATAAAAACTCAGTTTTGTAAAGAACATGTGGAGTGAGACATTAACAAATAAAATTTACTAGGGCATGAATTAATTCTGCTAAAACATAAATTGAGGCGCTTTTGTCAGAGGCACGATCTCTCAGCACAACATTTCGTTTTCAGAAGTAGGATGATGGATCTTTAGGGGAAGCACCGGTTAGTTATCAGGTTCCTGTAGGCTTATTGTTTGTATTGTAAAATAGAAACATTTTTTTTAAAGATTTGTTTATTTTTTATGTGCATTGCTGTTTTGCCTACATGTATGTCTGTGTCAGGGTGTCAGATCCTCCCAGAACTGGAGTTACAGTCAGTTGTGAGCTGCCATGTGGTCCCAGGTCTGGAAGAGCAGCCACTACTCTTTAACTGCTGAGCCATTGCTCCAGTCCTATAAAATAGGAATATTATAAGAATTTATAATATTAAATTATAAATATTATTATAAATTATTAAAATATGTAACAACAGGGAAACATGAGAAAAACAAAGCAAAAGTTTTGAAGAATATTCAGTGTTGGGCTGGAGAGGTGGCTTAGCGGTTAAGAGCACTGACTGCTCTTCCACAGTCCTGAATTCAGTTTCCAGCAACCATGTGGTGGCTCACAACCGTCTGTAATGGGATTTGATGTCTTCTTCTGTGTATCTGACAACTACAGTGTCCTCATATAAATAAATCTTTAAAAGAAAAATTCAGTGTTAAGGTGAAATGTCTGGAGTGTATTTAAATGGAAAAAGTAGGTTGAGAAGTTATGCTAATCAGTTACAACTAAAGCTTTGCATGATAACATGTGAGAATAATGTATAAGTGGCAGTAGATTTCATTAGTAATTGGAATTTTTTTTCCTTTTGGGTGTTTTATAATTTTTCAATAATGTGGTTATATTACAGTTTGGTTTTAAATACAAAAAAAGGAAAAAATAGTGTAAATATTTTCTTTCTAGGGTCAAAAAATACCGTTTTCTACCAAAAACAGAACTAATACAGAATAATGAAGAAAAGGGAGTCTTTCTTTAGTAGTCCATATGATGTTCTTATCTACACAGAGAGCATTTTATATATGAAAAACATATTAACCATCATTTGTAATAGTTTTCCTACTTTATTATAGCAAGGTGAAAAAAAAATATGAGAAAAAGAAGTCAGTTACTGTGAACTCAGCACAGAATCAGATTTCAGTTTTTACATGATTTCTTGTTTGTTCGTTTGTTTTTGCTTTTGTTTTTAAAGACAGGGTTTCTCTGTATAGTAGTGACTGTTCTGGAACTTAGTCTGTAGACCAGGCTGGCCTTGAACTCAGAGATCCATCTGCCCCTGCCCTGCCCCTGGAGTGCTGGCATTAAAGGTAGGCACCACCACTGCCCACTTCAGTTTTTGTAAGATTTCTAAATAAATCTTACAAAAGGATGTTAAAATATTTATAATGGTGCTATGTTACCAAGTACTTGATTTTTATATTTATGGATATCTCTTTATTCAATCAAAGATTGGGTTTGGGGTGGATGACCTAGACTCTTCTATAAATTTGATCTTTTGATTTCAGGCTGCTGTGATGTACCCCAGTCCTGATCCCTTAGAAACACAAACCGGTGTTCTTGACTTTTATGGACAGAGGCCCTGGAGACAAGGAATACTAAGTAAAGAATTTTCCTGTCTTTTTCTCTTAGCTTCAGGAAAACAGAGTTAGCTGTCATAATGTCTAATGCCTGATGGAATTATATTGAAGTGCATACATAGGCTTTTAAGACTTTTTAGAGTTTGCTTTCCTAGTCTGTTTATTTGTTTCTAAGATTTGTGCACTTAGTTTTTAGAATGGTTTCTTTCATTACATATTAAGAGTCCTAAATTAAAGGTAATGGTATGGTTTCTTTCATTGCATATTAAGAGTCCTAATTAAAGATAATGGTATTGTTAAAACATTTGAGTATTTAAGCATGCAACTTCAAGGATTTATTTAACATTTTAAAGTGACATTGCCATGTTCTGCCTTAAGCAGCATTTCTGGTTGCCTTTTGCACTCTGCATATTTGATGGGACGGCATCCATGGCAGTTTGCACCTTGTGAGGGGATGGATAGCACTCAGCAACTGGGGAAAGAACATCGGGGTTAGGAATGTTCTCAACAGAACAGAGACGGCAGAGAACTCTCTAGGTGAATAACGCTGTCTCTTAGAATCGTTATGATTCTAGAATATTTGCACATGGTACTCAAGTGAAGGATTCAAGTAACTCGTGTGAAGAGTTGTGTTACATGAGCTAAGATTGGTTGCTTCTTGTCTTAAATAGGCTTTGACCTCTCAGACCCAGAGAAAGAGAAAGCTGGGATTCTTGCCATTCAGCTGAAGGAGAGAAGTGTTGTCCATTCTGTGAGTCGCTTTCCCCAGTATAAACTGTTTGCCCACTATTCTAGTAAAATCCTTTTCATTCCAATGTCCTGTACCTTCTTTCTTCTGACAGGAAATAATAATCACTCTTCTGAGCAATGCTGTTGCACAATTCAAGAAGTACAAGTGTCCACGGATGAAAAGCCACCTTAGTATGTACCCACCATGTGCGGTTCTGGGCTGTGCCAAGGAGTGCTAGCTTACTTACACCTTCTCTTCCTTTGCAGTGGTTCAAATGGGAGAGGAGTATTATTATGCAAAGGATTATACCAAAGCTTTGAAGTGAGTCATATTGCTTATTTTCACAAGTGCTCTGATTGCCTTACAGTGAAATTGGGAAAGACGTTTATATGGAAGGGTTTGCTGTTACTGTGTCTGTTTTTATTAAGGCCTATCTTTGTGGTATTTTCTCAAGTGTCATCTGGTAGCATAACCCTGTGTGAACAGTGTCTGTTAGACCATCTCAGTAGGCTTTTTTGTATTTACACAAGGTTAGAAATGCACAAGCAGTTTCTCCATAGACCTGTCAGCCCTGTGGAGAAGCCCTTTCAGTGGCTCTTCTCTCTCTCAGGCTGCTGGACTACGTGATGTGTGACTACCGGAGCGAAGCGTGGTGGACTCTCCTCACGTCTATATTGACGACAGCCCTGAAGTGTTCGTACCTCATGGCCCAGTTAAAAGATTATATTACTTATTCTCTAGAACTCCTGGGAAGAGGTACGTGATGCTTTTTCTGTAAAGCCTAGCTCACACAGTGTTTGTATCATAAATATTTGTTTAAACTGGAATATTTCATTGTCAGATATTTAGAAGTGCTTTTATTCTGGGTGTGGTATAGCACATCTTTAATCCCAGCACTTGGGAGGTCAAGGCAGGGAGATCACTGTAAGTTCAAGGTTAACTGGTCTACTTAGTGTGTTCTACAGGGCTACATAGAGACCCTGTCTCAGAAAATCAGTAAGTAATACTTTTATTATATAAAATTCACCATGTTCAGCCATGTCAGAAGTACTTACTGTAAAATATCTTAAGGGGCTGGGACGATACCTCCATTGGTACAGTGCTCGCCTGACTTCAACTCCCAGTACCCATGTTAATGCCAGGCATGGTGGCCTGTGCTTCTAAGCCAAGCCCTGGGGCTTTGTACACAGGAAGATCCCTGTGACTAGTCAGTCTGTCATAATTGGTGAGCTCCAGGCCAATGATAGACCCTGTCTCATAGGAGGTACACGTAAAGAATGTGTTTTGTCAGGGCTGGAGAAGTAGCTCTGTTCCCAGCACCCTCAGGAAGTTTATAGTTGCCTGTAACCCCACAGTAGGGTGATGGTCTGACCTGCCTGTCTTACAGCTCTATTTCTTTCCCTATCTCAGCTTCAACTCTGAAAGATGACCAGAAATCTCGGATAGAAAAGAACCTCATGAATGTTTTAATGGTGGGTAGTAATTCCTTGTAGAAAGTGTATCTGCATCTGTGTGTGTTTTTCCTCAATTAGTTGAACAGCGTTTGAATTCTCATTGCAGAACGAAAGCCCTGACTCTGAACCTGACTGTGATGTCTTAGCAGTGAAGACTGCTCAGAAGCTGTGGGCGGACCGGGTCTCTCTGGCTGGCAGCAATGTCTTCACAATAGGTGTACAGGACTTCGTACCATTCGGTGTGTAGCCAACATCCAGGGTTCGTAGGAACCCTTTGAAGTGAATACATGCAGAATAATAAATATGAAAGAAGTCAGAGTGTAGCATCTCGTGGGTAATCATGAGTCTTATTTTTCTCTGCAGTGTTACAGCAATGTGCTATCAAATGTTTTGTTTTAACGTCGACAGGTATTTATTGAACAAATGTGTGAGTCGTGAAGACCTTCGTCTCATTTACTGTGACTTTAAAACACCACGGCAAAGAACAGTTTCTAGTTGTGTCTTACTTTCTTTTTTTTAAACCATGTTTTATGTATAACAGTAGAGTGTACATCAGCAGTTCTCAGCCTTCCTAACGCTCTGACCCTTTAATGCAGTTCCTCGTGTTGTGGTGACCTCCAACAATACAATGACTTCGCTGCTATTTCATAACTAATTATGCTAGTGTTATAAATCATAATGCACATATCTAATATGCAGTATACCTGATATGTGACCCCTAAAGGGGCCATTACCCCCAGGTTGAGAGCCACTGTTTTACATATTAAATAACACTATGCTAGAATGATTTGATGTTGTATACATTTGTTATACGTATATAATTCACAATTTAAATTTGCTTAGAAAAAGTGAATTTGAAAAAATTATTCTAAGGGGAGAGGTTTTGCAATCTGAAATATTCCCCTGTTCAAATACTTATATTTGTTTATTAAAATCTACTTTGCTTATTTATAATTCAAGTATAATATGAAGTGTCCTTGAGAAAATAGAATTTTAAAGTTGTATGTGTTAATGTCTAGGCAGGTATTTTGAATAAAATAATTCAAAATTGTTCTGTTCCTTTTGACACCAAGTTTTTATGGACAAAGTGTGGTTTTAAAATTTAAAAAGTTTTGAAGCCGGGCAGTGGTGGCACACACCTTTAATCCCAGCATTGGGAGGTAGAGGCAGGTGGATTTCTCAGTTGGAGGCTAGCCTGATCTACATAGTGAGTTCTAGGACAGCCAAGGCTGCATAGAGAAACCCTGTCTCAAAACAAATAGCACCCTCATGCCAATGGTCTTGAAGCGCCTTAGTTTACCTGTCTTTTCATAAGGAGTTGTGTTTGCATTGGCTAAGGACACCATGAGTGAGGAGGCAGTGAGGCAGAGGAGCTGCTTCTGTAAGACACTCAGGACTGTGCGCCAACGCCTGCTACTGTGTGACCCCGCCCCTCTCCTTTGATTTCTAGTACAATGCAAAGCCAAGTTCCATGCTCCGAGTTTCCACGTGGATGTCCCTGTGCAGTTTGACGTGTATCTGAAGGCTGACTGTCCGCACCCCATTAGGTTTTCTAAGCTCTGTGTCAGCTTCAATAACCAGGTAGTGTACCCACAAATGTTCCCACTGTGTGCATGGTCCCACTGTGTGCATGCATTGTAGCACTCAGGAAACTGTTGAGTGACTTTAGTGACATTTACATCTTACTGATTATCTGATTTTGGCTAGATTTATTTAGGAAAAATGTATTTCTATTTCCAAAGTCTTGCAATTCAGTGCTTTTTCTATTCTTATTTTTTTTTTTCATTTCCGTCTTAAGTAAGCCAGGAATACTATTCTTAGTTTTTATAATGTGTAGCTTGAATTTTAATATTCACTGTGATACTAGTCTAATTTTTAAAATCATGTACTTCATTTGTTTACCACTGTTAGTTTTTGTTTTAGAATTAATGTGTGCTTTACGTTAATTGAAATACTGGAATGGAGTGGACAGACTTGACGTGCACAGTGAACCTGCCCTGCAAGAGCAGGACTTCTCGGCCTACTTCCTAAACCGTCTAGTGTTTTCTATGCACACATAAGCAACATTTTCATACTATAGACATAGAAACATTTTAAAGTGTGATATACTAAAGCCAAGGGCCGAAGTTTATTCTCTCTCACCTAGGTGATCACTTAATAGTTATCTTCTGATCAACTAGAAAGTATATTAAGCCTTTAACAAACACATATATTGAAAGTTACAATATTCTCATGGTGAACCTAAAAAGATACTGTGTATCAAAACACACACACACACACACACACACACACTCAGGCACACATAAATAATATTAAAAAATAAGTTTTTTTTAAAAAGGAAAGAGTGATCGATAGTACTTTCCATTGCAACAAAGAACATATATTTTGTTTCTCCTTCAGAACTGGTATTTCAAAGCTTCCAGAAATCAGGCTGTGTGTGCCGTGCTAAATGTTTTTTTTTTTCTTTGTGTTAGCAGTGAGTAAGTACATGAACTCAGCATTCAAATAATTCTTTGTATGTGAAAACTAGTACATAGTCACATTAGTGATATTTGTGCTAGTGCCATGGTCCTCAACCTTCCTATGCTGTGACCCTTTTATACAGTTCCTCATGTTGTGGTGACCCCAACCATAAAATTATGTCATTGCTACTTCTACTTCATGCCTGTAATTTTGCTACTGTTATGAATTTTAATGTAAATATCTGATATACTGGATATCTGGTATGCAGCCCCTGTGAAAGGATGTCTGACCCCAATGGGTCACAACCTACTGGTTAAGAACCCCAGGCGAGAACTGAATGAGCTTTGAATCAGTGCTTGCTCAGTGTTGGCAAAAGATCTGTCTGCTGCTTGTACATGATGGATACTCATCTCTCTTTCAGGGCTACAACCAGTTCTGTGTGCTGGAGGAGGCATCCAGAGCAAGTGAAGTCCTTGAGAATCTGACTCAAGGAAAGATGTGCCTAGTCCCTAGCAAAACAAGAAAATTGTCCTTTAAATTTGTTGCAAAAACTGAAGACGTAGGAAAGAAAATTGAGGTAAATTGTGAAATTTGCTTAAAAATAATTTGAATGGCAAAAGTAGTAAGTATGTTTATGTTAAAATGTAAATAATGCATTCATAGTCGTTTGGTAGATTTCCTTCCATATGCTCTTTGTGGATACATTTGTACCGTGAAATGATTTAAAGACTGGGCCTGTGGATGTAGTTCAGTGGTACAATGAATGCCTCCTGGCGTGCACAAGGCCCTGGATTCAATCCCCAGCATGAAGGAGGACAGTGGAATTTACTGGACATCATGCTCTGTTCCTGGCTTTTTTTCACCAGTAGTATTACAAGTAGACATTATTTGCTCTGAGTTCATAAGACTAATCTCATTTTTTTAATGAATAAATTATCAGTTAAGGAGTTTTCAATGATTTATATTACATAATACATCAAATATATATAATAGGACCTAATTTCGACTTTACTTCTTTAGTGTTCAAACATTGCTGTTTGCATATATTTAAAGAAAATGAAGATACATTAATATTTTAGCATGTTGATATAGTATAAGATTTGAGAAGCTCTTCAGAACTGTATGGTGATGCATCCTTTAGATATGCCAACTGCATATCTTCAGTTCTAGCCTAGCTTGTGAGGTCCAGGGCATTCTAACCTGTGTGTCTCAGTCAGTCATCTGTAAGATCTGGGGTTTGGGGGGTTGTCAGTCCATTGGATGCTGACAGTGTTTATAGCATAGTAAGCACTCACTGAATGCTTGGTGTCCCTGACTTAAAGAGAGTGGTTAGCTGGGTCAAACCTTGGGACCACTGTTAAAATGTATGCACATAAGGTTATACTACTTACATTTGGATAGCAACCTCTCTTAAGTAAACAAATTTCTTATTGACTAATATCCAACACTTAGTTTCTTCCCTTTAAAAGTCCTTGATGACTTGACAAAATCTTCTTACATGTTTTACTGCCGTAGTTGGCAGCATGAACCTGGGAGAGATGGAGTCAAGTTTCAAGCAATGGCCAACTTTATTCAGAGGAGTGGACAGTCTGTATCTTGATGTTAAGAAGGGTCACCTGATTAAAGATGTCATGAATTCAAGCTGTGTATAATCACAAGGACAGTGCATGCGGCTTTCCATAGAGGCACAAACAATAACAATAGCCAGTTGTGATGACTGATCTCCAGTAAACTGATCAGTCCACTACACCTAGGAGAGGCACAAAAGCATAATCCAAGAACAGCTAGCTCTACGTTTTTGAAGAAACTGAGGTCATGAAACTTGTTTTCTTCCCAAGTGCTCAGAATTCCCCTTCCACAATTTCATTCTTGGGCTGTGTCTTAACACCTAGAGCTGTATTTTATTTTTTACTCGGTATCTGAGGAAACCTATCATTTAGTTAATAATTCTATGTTGGATCCTTTCATAAATGGGCTTATCTGAAAGTAATATTTGATTAATAAACCATTTCATTACTAACACTATAAGTACTTATAGCAGAAACATTTGTGGGATTAGACACTAGTTTGTAAGTTTATCAGTGGTACCTTCCTTATTTCCTTCAATGTCCACCAATAAGTATTTGTTCTGTCAAGAGCTGTGCTGGAGCCAGCATCATACGTATACATGCAGCCTCTTGGAAGTTGAGGGTATGGTCAGTGCCTGGCCAGGGTGATCGCCTAACAGCAGGCATTCTGCCCCTAGGTGAATGTTAGGTGTGATCGTCCTCACTGTGGATAGGTTGACAGGGGACAACGAAAAGCAGGTGTGTGATGGCGTTTCTGGTATGCCTTCTTTTTTCAGATCACCTCTGTGGATCTCTTTCTGGGCAGCGAGTCAGGCAGGTGTGTGGTGTTGAGCTGGCAGGGAGGAGGAGGGGATGCTGCTTCCTCCCAGGAAGCCCTGCAGGCTGCAAGGTCTTTCAAAAGGCGGCCAAAGCTTCCTGACGATGAGGTTCACTGGGACAGCATCATAATCCAGGCAAGCACAATGTACGTGTACTTTGAAAACATTAAGATTGTCTTACTTCCTTTGGAGGAATACCTTACTTACTTTGTTTCTTTACGCTGCTTATTGAGCTATTTCTTTTCAAAGGATCATTTCCAGAGTCCCAAACATTTCTGTACATCTGCGACATGAGCCTCCTGCTCTCATGAATGAGATGTATTGTTTAGTTGTAACTGTTCAATCCCATGAAAAATCTCACATCAGGGATGTGAAGCTCACTGCTGGCCTAAAGCCAGGTAAGCATTCATTTTGTGAGTTTATAACATTGTAAGTTGGATCAGTGTCCATGTATTATGTTGGTTGAAAAGGCACTGTGGTTTTTTTGTACTGTTGAAATTTGCCATTTAATATTAGAATACACTAGTAAATGTGGTTATATTAAACATGGTTTTAATGTAGATTTCTCACTTCTTTGATAATTACTGTTTATTTAATATTTATATTACACTATGAAAGTTGTATTACACAAAAAGCAGGTTTGAGTGATTTTCTTTAAAAAACTTTTCGGTTGTATAAACTTTTCCTCATTTGGGTATAGCATGCATGTGGAGGTCAGAGGACAGCTGTGGGGGTTGATTATGTCCCTCTGTCCTGTGTGTCAGGTCGTCAGGCTAGGCAGCATGTACTTTTTTTTACCTGTTGACCCATTGAGCGGTTTTCTCATACAAGTTAAAAATGAGTGATAAAGCATTGGCGGTAGCTCACAACATCAACAGCACATCTGGCCTGCTCACACACACTGTGGTGGTGGTTCAAGAGCTTCTGGAAAGGAAACAAGACACTTGAGGGGCTCAGTGAGCAGCCCTCAGGCGCTGACCGTTGGAGAGCACTCTTCAAAGCTGATATTTGCAGGCCAGAGAATTCATGGACTGTGCCGTGGTAATCAGTGTTTAAGACAAGTGAGAAAGGCGCAGAAGTGCCCGCAACAGATGCCTCCGTGAGCTGACTGAAAAGAAAAAAGTTCATCATTTTGAACTGTCGCTCTCATATGAGGAACAACAGGAAACTTTTTCTGATCAGATGGCGAAGCAAGAAAGATCGAACAGACGGATGGATGAATGGATGAATGAATGAATGAATGAATGAATGAATGAATGAATGAATGAATGGACTGTATAAACCAGCTGGTAACGACCAGCTCCGTGGTGGAGAATCAGCTCCCAAGCACTTTGTGGAGACAGACTTGCAACAACACAGCTCATGGCCATTGCTGCCCTGCTGCTCCTTTGATCCAGTGTAGCTTTCTGCATTAACCACTGTCCACAGCGTTCTGCAGGGACGCGCTTCCACAACCAGCAGGGTGCGATGCCTGCCAGGAGTGTGCTCAGTCCCTGAGCACAGATATTTATTTACACTGTAAGAGTAAAACTTCTTTCTCACTGGCAAAAATATATTGATTATAACAGTTCCAACTTTGATCCATAAAGATGTGTTTGAGCCCACTTACAGTGAATTAAAATGCACAGTCTGAAACCACAATTCCCTTCACACAAACATAGGAACAAGGTAAACACCATTGCGTCAATGGTAGGATATTTATTTAAAAGACGGTATGATAGAGTGTTCTTCTTATAGTGTCGATTATTATAATGTCCTGAAACATCACTCTATCAACCTTCACAGGGCAGGATGCCAACCTAACTCAGAAAACTCACGTGACACTTCACGGAGCAGAGCTGTGTGATGAGTCCTACCCAGCCCTACTCACTGACATTCCTGTGGGAGACTTACACCCAGGAGAGCAGGTGAGCATGGCCAGCAGGGACTGGAGAGGGCAGGAGGTGGGCTGTAGTTCTACAGTGGCATAGCCACACACTGGAAACGCGATTGACCTACCGAGCATCCCCTAGCATTATACGTCATTAGATTTGTCCATGCAGGGGGTTTAGAACAGGTGACCCTCCTTGGACTGCTTGTTGCTGCTGGTGAAACTTCTGTTTCCAAGTCACATAAGAAGTTGGTGAGGGGTTGAAGGAGAGCGTGAGAAGGTGGAGGATTATGTCATGGAGGTTGGCTCAGGGTTCTGGGTGTCTGGTCCTTGGTCACATGGGTTACACTGTAACAGCCTGCATAAAGTATCTAACAGATATCTCTAAATGGGAACATCATTTTAGAATATCTGGAGGAAGTCTCTGTAACATTAAATTTACAATACTTACTGTGTTGCAGCTAGAGAAAACAGTATATGTTCGCTGTGGAACAGTGGGTTCCAGAATGTTCCTTGTGTATGTTTCTTACCTCATCAATACAACTGTTGAAGGAAAAGAAATTATTTGCAAGTGTCACAAGGTATTTTTTTTCATGACTACTTCTACTTTATGTTACTTTAATATCTTTTTGGTCTTAGCAGTAATATATTATCTTATAGGTTGGTCTCTCAGCCTAACAGAAGCAAAAGCCCAGGAATTGAGGATAATAGTGTGGTTTTTGTAAAAGTTGTCCATTTATAAGTTATTGGGAGAGAAAAGGTTGTTGAAAGGGTCACTTAGCAGACGGGCTGCTAAACCCCACACATTATGTGAACTGTTTTTGTTTTTTTTGAGGCAGGATCATACTACATAGCCCTGGTTGTTCTAGAACTCACTCTGTAGACCAGACTGGCTCAATCTCACAGAGATCTGCCTGCCTGCCTCTCCTTCCAGAATGCTGGTTAAAAAGGCCTGTGCCACTACGCCTGGCTTCCTCTACTTTATTTAATCTTCACCACCTTGGAGTGCTATGAAACTGAGACTTAGAATCTAGGCTTATGTGTGTGACTTTCCTAAATCACATATATGGCCATGGCCAAACAGATGTCATCTGTCTGACATTACAGCCTGACATCTGTTTACATTTGTTTATTTTGCCGTGTGTGTGTGTGTGTGTGTGTGTGTGTGTGTGTACATACATATGTGCATGCCACAGTGCATATGTGAACATTGGAGAACAGTTGTGGGAATTGGTTCTCTCTTTGTACTGTGTGGGTTCCAGAAACTGAACCCAGATCATCAGACCTAAAAGTAAGCTCTTTTATCCTTTGATCCCTCTCACTGGCTCAAGATAATCTTCTAAAAAGACTTCTCATCAATGTGTTGGGTTATTTGTTTTAAGAAGAAGGGTTACATCATAGCTTCTCAAACAGTCATTTAGAGGGGAGGTGCAGCATGTTGGTTAGGGTAGAGCCCCATGGTCAGATTTGGTAAAGTTTTCACCTTGTGACTTAAATTCTAGACCTCCATCTTAAACAGTCAGTTATAATAGATTGGATGCTGTGAACATTATACTGTGTGCGCATGGCAAATGCAGTAGTGTCTGTTATATTACTGTGTGATTATTTCAGTCCCTGAATCACATGAGAGGATGGTCCAGATTCTGGGCGTGGCCTCATTCAAGACATAAGGCCAATCACTTCGTCATCTCACCATCCAGCTCCTGCTCTGTAGAGTGACCAGTGTCCTGCCTGCTCCACCAAATCTGGAGATAACTAGCACAGAAGGAAGCACTTCCCTGTGCCACTGCTAACCCGTCAGATATCTCACTAGGAAGAGCAGATCGTTATGAAGATTTCTACCAATGTTATCTAGGAAGAGACCTTTGCTTCCTAGTGTGTAACTTGGGGTTGTTTATCCATCAATTCTAAATTACGCCTTCTATGCTTTTTAACTTTAAAACTTCCTGTTAAAAGATGAGAAAAGCCATTGTGTGTGCACTGTATGCTCTCTTACAGGATGAAACTGTAACAATAGAAACTGTCTTCCCGTTTGATGTCGCAGTCAGATTTGTTTCCACAAAGGTGTGTTCTGTGATGGGTGCTGGGAATCAGGTCAGAGTAATTCAAAGAAAAAAAATAGTGTGATTGCTGACCAGTCTTTTCTGTTCCTTGGTGGCAGTTTGAGCACCTGGAAAGAGTCTATGCAGACATCCCCTTTCTCTTGATGGCGGATGTTCTGAGTGCCTCCCCGTGGGCCCTCACGATTGTGTCCAGTGAGCTGCAGCTTGCTCCCTCTATGACAGCAATGGATCATCTGGAGTCCCAGATAGACAGAGGTGAAGCCTTCCATCACTCTCACATACGGGCCAGATGGGCGTGCCTGTCGGTTAGCGGTGTAATAGAGTTTTGCAAAAGAAGGGAACTTGAGACTTACACATTTAGAGTTAAGATATGATTAGCATGTATAGTATGCATGAATGTATTACATTTTAAAAGGTCAGATTTGGGGTTTGTTTGGTTCTGTTTTGAGAGAGGGTGTCGTGTAGCCAAAAGCTAGTCTTGCACTTGAGCTCCTGACCCTCCTGCCTTTACTTCTTGAGTGCGGTAATTACAGACATGGGTTGCCATACCCAGCATGAAAGATTAGAGGTTTTTTTTTTTTTTTTTTTTTTTACACTAAGGAAGTAACATTTTGAGAAATATACTTGAAAGCAAACTAGGATTTTCATTTTTGAAATGTTAAGTTTTTTCTTTTTTTAATTTGAAATTAGTGTTTACTGTTGTTAGAATTAGAACTAGGACAAGGTGTTTCTTAGATAGACAGCAGATTTGCTAACTCAGCAGCTAAAGCAGCCCGGAGAGCAGGCTCAAACCTACACATCTTTCCTGTTCAGTGTACGTTCATAAACTGTTGCACATTATAAAGTGTGTGTTATAAGGTATATAATTGTGAATGTTGAACGGAGCAGAAGTCTACTCAAGCAGACGCTCAGGTTAAGGGTTGTGAGAAAAGCAGACCAGCAGCTGCTGGGTGCCTCAGTGCCGGCCTTGGCCATTGCTTGCACTGTTTAGTCAGAGTTGATTTGCTTGTGTGATGTTGGCCATTTCTAAGATCCTGGCTTGGCTTCCCTCTGTCTTTAAGTCTTCAGCTGCCACAGAACTTTAGGCTGCTCGTGTTACTGGTCCTGCTAGAAGGATCAGTGTACAGGCAAAGGGAGAAACCGAGTCCAGCGTCTCATGCCCGTTCTCACCGCCATCCTGGCCCCCTCTCTCCGGGCTTGAAGACATAGCTTTCTAGCTGGATTGTTTCCCTTTTCCCTGGTGCATGCTGCTGGAATCCGATTCCTCTGAGTAGGATTTCCTGGCGTTCCACCTCCAGCAGTGCAGCACCCTGGATTTTGGCGTCAGGCTCTGTGAAGCTTGCAGACACGCCTCACAGCGGTCTCTCCTCCTCTGCTTTCCTCCCATTGAGCTGAGGCTGACTTGGTTTTAGCAGGCATTGCTCTGTGGGAATTTGAACAGTTATCTATCACTTTGTCCAAAACCCTCTCATATCTCTCCCACCTGTTTGACCTCTGCTCCTTGTGACTCACAAGCTCGGACTCTGATCCTCCTCTGCAGGACTTCCCACTTGTCTTCACAGCCATGACACTCTGTACATACCTCTGTTGTGACAGCCCATTATCTGTCTCCACAAATGACGCTGCGGTAGACTCTGCTCCTTTAGACTCAGAGCCTGTCTTTTTCATCTTTATATTGGTGACATCATTTAATGACCGTATATTACATTGAGGACTACTTTCCGGTTTGAAGCCCTGATATTTCAGTGTCTCGTTGCTGGTGTAACAGTGAGCATGAAGTTCGCCTCATCTTAAAGTTCCAGAGGTTGGAGATCCTAGAAGTAACGTGTCTCAGATTCTAGGGACGCTCAGGCTCCTGACCTCTCCCAACGCCGAGGGCCACTTGCGTTTTGCCTCATGGCTCCTCTCTTACTCACAGTCCACAGTGTCACACTTCCATGTCACAAATTCGTCACACTGATTTGTTAGCAGACATCATCAGCATTCTGCCTAACTTAGACTTTAGGGAGAGCCTTGGTATGACCAGCCCAGGATTTTATAAAAGCATCTCCAAAGGCTTGAACTGATGCATTCCTAAAAAAGCATTAGACTGCAATATTGTCTGTTACTTTTTACGTTTATTTGAGACAACTTAAGAACTGACCAGCCCTTTTCTTTCTCACTGGGGTCTACTTGTCCACAGCCAGATAGCCGTTCACCTAGTATAGTCGTCTTTATTGGGCAGCTATAAAAATACTAACCTAGTGTTTAGGAATGTTGTTATTCCATAGTTGCTCACAGATTTGCTGTAATTGTGTTAGCTAGAAGCTGTCATCCACTTGCATTGAAAGCCTGACATTGTGGCTGTGGAGTGTTGAAAGGAGAGCTCTGGGTTAGATAGATACAGAAACAGCAAGAGGAACTCTCCAGTGAGGTGAGTGCAGCAGGGTAGCATGGAGCGAGGGGTGTCAGTTTCTGTTAGAGTGAGTTCCATAGTGAATCAAAAAGAGGAATGATGACAGAAGTGCTGGAGGGACGGAGTTTTCTTTTTCTTACCCCCAAAATATCTCCCTCCCTCCCTCCCTCCCTCCCTCCCTCCCTCCTCCCTCTCTTCTTCCCTCCCTCCCTCCCTCCCCCTCTCTCTTTCCCTCCCTCCATTCCTTCCTTTCTTTCTTCTTTCCTTCCTTTCTTTCTTTTTCTTTCTTGCTTTCTTGCCATGAAATAATTTGGAAAAAGGAAACCAGTTACCTTATGGTATCATGTTTCTTCAGGCTGTCTGTATTCCTGGCTTTTCAGTAGGACTTGGTTGCAGATCTATAGATGTCTTGTTGGTGGTGGGGTGTGCACATATGTATATGTGTGAGTACACGCATCCATGTGCACATGCAAGCCAGAAGAGGGTGTCAGCTGTCCTGCTACATTTCCACCCACTGGTTTTTACTATTATAAATATTGATAGAGTAGCCCAATAGTAGACTTACATGATGTAGAAAAAGTAATTAGCATTTCTGAGCGTTGGTTTCTAAGTTTCTAAAAGCAGTTAATTTGTAAAGTATTGCTTTGTCTACTTGAGGCAAAACTCTCGTAGATTAAATTATGCATAGGCTATAAGGAGTCTTTCTTGCAGTTGTCTTACAGACAGGAGAGAGCGCTAGCGAGTGCTTCTGTCTTCGCTGCCCAGCTTCTGGAAACATTGAAGGTGGAGTGGCAACAGGACATTACATTATCTCCTGGAAGAGGTACAAGTCACACTGGCCCTCAGTGTCTTCTCTAATATCTTTACTGTTTGTCATTACCATTTAACATACTGAAGTGCCGGGTGAAGTTACAGCCGTATGCACGTGCTTTGGCTCCAGGGTCTGAGAAGGCAGAACTGTAAGCCACAGGCTAACACTTCTCAAATCTGGTGGTCTCAGGACACCTTTATACCTGAAAAATCCCTGGGAACACTGAAGTTTCTATGTTATACGAGTTAAGCATCAACCGAAAGGCACTTATTTGTCTGCCGTGCTACTGTAATTCTGTAAGGTTCTGGTGACAGTCACAGCAGCTCCTGCCTTAGCTCCCAGGAGCCCTGGGTTCTAGCATCTGCTCGTTGAACATTCAGAACAACAGTGGGATTCAGAAAGCTCCTTCTGGACAAAGTGCTGTTGGTGGAAAGTGGATAACTTATTTTTCTTTTGAAGCTAGTTGGTACGACAGGTTCCTGTGTTTGGTTAAATCGCTTTTTAAGTGTGAGTTTCAAAGCTGCACTTTTTGCCGTAGGGCCTCAGGCATGGGAAATCTCCCCGCAGTCAGGACTGTCATCACACTGCCTCACGTGATTGTTGAAAACATCCCTCTCCACGTGAACGCAGGTAGGATTCACATGTTACTGATACTGGGCTTTGAAGAATTTACTTTTGTAACAGTGTATTATGCAAAATGGCTAACATCTATAAACTTTAAATGGCCCAACTCTAACTGTTATCAGCCAAACCGCACATGCCATTTCATCTGTGAATATTTTAGTATGATTGGAAGCACTGTTTTTTGTGAACCTAATTGTTTCATTATTGTGACTTAAAATTATCAGTGGATTCTTTGAGTAGGAGGGTGGTTGAGGCCGGATCTCACTATTTAGTCCTGGATAGCCTTGAACTTGCTAAGTAGACCAGACTGGCCTCAAGCTCATACAGAGCCTCCTGCCTCTGCCTCATGAGTGCTGAGATAAAAGGTGTGTGCTACTGTGCCCAGGCTAGCAATAGATTCTTAAACCATCAGCAGATTCCAATGCTGAAGCTTTGGTTGGCTGGGTGTTTCTCTGCTTATCTTAAGGTGCTTCCATTGCAGTGGTGGGTACGTCTCATAGCCGGCTAAGTCTCTAGGTGGGCTGCTGTCCTGCCCCTCGTCCTCACTCCCTCATTGTTACCCCGGGCACTGGTCTCGGTGCTCCTGTCTGCACATCCACCTCCTCTCCTGCTTCCACCTCCCCTCCCCTCTTCCTGTTTATTTGTTGAGGAAACCAACTCATTTGGTAGAATTTCTAACAGCCTGATTTTATGATGTCATGTTTAACTGTTTTCATATCCCTGTAAATTGACAGTCATCAGACTTGATCAGATTCAGGTTTAAATTTTTGTTAGGAATTATTCAGTCCCCTTTAGTGGGCACATAACTGTGCCACCCTCCTGTTTTTATATAGGATCACATACAGTCCAGGCTAATCTCAAATTAGGAAGCACATAGTATCATAATTTCAACCTACCACTGTACCCCCCTTCTCCCTCCCTTGGGCGCCGCCCCGGGGGGGGGGAAGGTAGGGTGACATGTAGTTCAGGCTAGCCTCAAACTCACTGTATAGCCAAGGCTGGCCTTAAACTGCCACTGCTCGTTCTGCCGTTCTGCCTCTCCCTTCTAAGTGCATGGCTTACAGGTGTGCCCCACCACATGCCAGGCTCATTTCTCCTCTCTTACTGAATAATTCTATTAAGAGAAACATTTCATTATCAGCCCCCAGCATGTCTGTATGATTTTAAAAATAGCATACAGTGCCTGCCTCCTACCATGCCACCTCCTGCAGTGCTTGCTTGAGCAGAGCTGCATGTGACAGAACAGCACCGACCACATTAGAGTGGCCTCTGCAAGGATGGTCACAAACTCACAGAACATTCCACTTTTATATGTCAGAAAAAATAAGTCTGCAGAACTCCACTGAAAAGTCTGAGCAAGTGGATGAGTGGAAATTTTATGTAGTTTCAGTAAAATACAGTGTTTGCTTATTCTAGTTTAGGAACTGTGGTTGGTATTTTGGGAGATGGTTTGCAGATTTGTAAGTCATTTGTAGCAGTTTGTGGCAGCTGACTCTTGATTCTGTGCTGTGCAGTCACTTTCAGACATACTTCCTTCTCAGCCTGTCCTGTCAGCATCCTTTCCCAATGAAAGGATCTCATATGCAAAGCCGTAGCTTGTGTACCACTGTGTCTGTCTAATACAAAGTCTGGGTGATGAGCTGGCTTTCACTTCACCAAGGGACCCATGCTCTTCCTCTGTAGACCTGCCCTCGTTTGGACGTGTCAGAGAGTCATTACCTGTCAGGTACCACTTACAGAATAAGACTGACTTGGTTCAAGATGTGGAAATTTCTGTGGAGCCCAGTGATGCCTTCATGTTCTCAGGCCTCAAACAGGTACAGGTCATCCTTCTGGTGTGTCATGTGTGACCACAGGAGTAGGACCAAGAAGTGGACAGCTGGGGTTTGTGTTTTGATAGTGGTAAAATTTTAAGCCTTTTAAAAGATTAAGTTTAACTTCCTGCAGAGATGTGTTACTGTTTCCTGTCTTTGAGATCAGACAGATGGGTTCTTACTCCTTATACAGCATGGTTCACTGCTGACTATATTATAATGACACCTTAGAATTCCTGAGAACCATAACCTCTTCTTTATTTGCCTTGTGTCTTGGCCTGTGGCCTGGAGCACAGCCATACTGAGGTTAGAGCTTACAGACTTGTACAGGGTTTGATCTTGCATAGAAGTTACTTTTCTCTGCTATGTTCAGGAACTTTTGGGGGGGGGGAGGGGCTATTCAACATTTTTTCCTTATTCAGTCAAATCAGATGGAAAAGTTTATCTATTTTTAAAATGAAAAACTCAGTCAAAAAACATGTTCCCAAGGAGAGTCAGGATGCTAACAGACACCTCACATTTGTCAGGAAGTGCCTTTTATGAATAAGGGACAGTTTTAATTATAGGAGCAAATGTGTCTTAACACAAGTGTCTACCCTGGACAAACCAACCAGTTTGCTTCGCGTATTCAGAATGCTGGGTTTGTTGTTAGATGCACAGTAGAATTGAACAAGCATTGTGCAGTGTTGCTGTGTACCATTATACATTGATACATACCCTAGCTTTAGTACAACACAAGCCTGTGCTGTTGTCCCCGGCACAGTATGTGCACATACATACATGTTTCTCATTTATAAACTAAGAAGTTGTTTCCGGGTATTGTCTTGCCAAAATTTTAAAATGCATATTTTTCTGAAGTTTAATTTTTTTGTTATGTATTTACTGTGTGTTGAGAGTGTCCTGTACATTTGCATCAGGGCAGCTACGGAGGTCTCCTTACCTCATGTGGGACCTGGAGACTGAACTCAGGTTGTGGGCTGGGCAGCATGCGGAGCCCTCAAGTATTAGTAAAGATTTCCAACACGCCTTTCCCCCTGAAGCTGTTTACCTTAATTTATAGTATTAAATCCCTAAGAGAAATAATCAAAATCTTATGGTTTTTATTTTGATGAAAAATGCCTATACAGAGATACAGGAAGTCTTTTGGTAAATTATTATGTAATATCCTTTGAAGATTGTAATATACCTGGTATAGACAAAGTGGTAACCTGACAGAGTTCTTAAGAAGGTACGTGCCGCCCTTCAGGCTTGACAGAAACTGAGTGATGGTGGCTGTGTCATGCAGTGAGTGTCCTATGTTTTAGGCGGCGTGCTAGTAGAGAGCACGCGTCCTTCCCCAGAAGGACTTGTCCTTCGTAATGATCGAGGGTAACGGCGGTGTAAGGGATGTGTGTTCATGCAGGAGTCTGTGCGTGCCTGTCACTGTTTCCCTCTGGATTTTTATCACTAGATCCGATTGCGTATTCTACCTGGCACCAAGCAGGAAATGCTGTATAATTTCTACCCTCTGATGGCTGGGTACCAGCAGCTACCATCGCTCAACATCAACCTGCTTCGGTTTCCCAACTTCACCAACCAGCTGCTCCGACGGTTTATACCGACCAGCATTTTTGTGAAGGTAAGGCTTCGGCTTTCCCTGGCTGTTAGACTCACTATCTTAAAAGCAGACAGAAGCTTCGCTGAGTGAAAGTGGAGGCTGGCAGTGATAGCATTTGCTTTTGTTGTATGCATTTGATAATTCTGTTGATTTCCGTGGTACTATTTTATAGAATCTAACTTCCAAGATTGTCATTTTCGTAGATCAGTGATTCACAAGCTGTGGGTTGTGACCATCAGAAAACACGTTTCTGATGGTCTTAGGAACCCCCACCCATACATTCATTTTTGTTGCTGCTTCATAACTGCCATTTTGCTACTGAGGCATATCTCAGTTTTTAAAACCATTGGCAATACATGTTTTTCCATGGTCTCGACCCACAAGATGTCTTAGGTAATTAGTGACTTGTCTTTGCGGTGTCCTTGAACTTGGTTTCCCTTAGACATAATAAAGTGTGTTTTCAGTTGTAGTTCATAACTGTTTTTTATCAGATGGATTAACTTTCTAAGTAGCCTTAAACTTTACTAGTTCTTACCTCTTTAATTCTGGATTTAGATTCCTTCTGAAAAATGGCCAGAAATTATCTGCTTTGATTGCTGTGTATGTGTGTGTGTGTGTGTGTGTGTGTGTGTGTGTGTGTGTAGGAGCAAAATACTGGACTAGTATTTAATTTAGCTCAGCACTCACTTCTGACACAGCATCTAAGGAAGAAGTACATCACAGACACCCCCATCTGGGCTCCTTCCAGAGGGTGTGGTTTTCCTCTGTAGCCCCTTTGTGTGAAAGGGTAAGAAGTCCATGCCTCCTGTTGGGAGGACTGCTGCTCTTACACACCTTCCCGTGTCTGCCTTAAGGGTTAGGGATCCTTTCTTTGTCAGAAATTGGTAGTGGCGATTATGTCTATACTGATGTCTCCACACTCCCCGCTAGTTATAGACTTTATACACAGCATTGCTTCCCTTAGTGGGTGGTTTACTAACTCTCAAGCTCCTATCCCTTACTGTGCTTCACAGATTATAAACGGACACCACAGACTTATGTAAGGATGTAAGCAGCTTTGTATTCCTGAGAGCCAGGGTTTGATCCCGAGCACCAAAAGTAACAGGAGCTCTCTCTCTATTAGATTTGTAAACATTCTTACCTGGTCTCATTTTAAAGGCGCCCACCTCACCGGTTCTTGTCTGATGTTGCTGCAGACATTGGTGACTATTCCGAGGAGAGAGGCGTGTGCTCATCAGTTCGTCCCCTTCACTCCTTTATCTTCCAAACCTAATCCTCACAAGGCCACCTCCCTCTTTGATTGCTTTCATGCTAGACCTCTTTTGGTAGTGGTTGTTTAAATTCATGAGGAAAGGTTCCAGGTAATAAGCATAAGTTTAAATGCAATTAGCACATCGTTTTCCAACTGCCACGCCACCTTGTTACCTTCGCTGCAGTCAAGAGTGAGCCCCAGCTTCCTTGGGCACTCCGTCATCTGTTGGAGAACCTACAGTTCCACAGAGTATACGTCTTGAAATACATGCATGCCATCTGAGACAAGGTCTTTATGTACAGCCAAGCCAGCTTCGAACTCTCCACCCTTCTGCTTCAGCTTATAAGAGATGGTATTATAGGCATATCACCATGCCCTTCTCCTAACTTCTGTCAGTTAAAGTGGTTTGCGGGCTACCCTTTCCCACATACTGAATGATCACTTCCTAAGGTTTTAACTCTACTGTGCCTTTATGTAAGTCTAGGCCGGTCAGCGTAGCAGGTAACCACTTGCCACTTGAGAGTAAATGAAATTAAACTTAGAAGCCTTAGTGTCTGAATTAGCCATGTGCTCAGAAGCTAAATAGGATTAGTCACTTGAGAGTAAATGAAATTAAACTTAGAAGTCTTAGTGTCTGAATTAGCCACACGTCATGTGCTCAGAAGCTAAATAGGACCCGTCAGCTGTTGAGCAGAGCTATTCTAAAGCAGAGGTGGCCACTACTGTACTTCCATTGAGGTAATTGTGCAGTGTGCATATGTGGGTAAGTAAGTGGGCTGCCTCTGTGTTCTTAAGAAAGCTACCTTCATCAATACCAAGCAAATAAGAATAAAGTCAGGGGTAGGAGCCTAGTCTTCACTGTTCAGTTCCCACTGTAAATGTGAATATTATATGCTCCCCAGTCTAAAGGCCATGGCACCTGGAAGGGTGGGGCTAAGAATGAGGCCGACTGAAGTCTCATGCAGTAGGTGACTTTATTCAGAGCATCTGACAGTTTATACTCTGATAGTTTAAGAAGAATCACCTCAGGCTGGAGAGATGGCTCAGAACTTAAGAGCACTAGCTGCTCTTCCAGAGGTCTTGAGTTCAGTTCCCAGCAACCACACGGTGGCTCACAACCATCTGTAATGGGATCTGGTGTCCTCTTCTGGTGTGCAGGAATACCTGTAGGCAGAATGCTGTGTACATAGTAAATAAATAATTAAAAAAAATAAAAGAGTCACCTCAAACATAGCAGCATATAAACAAATAATAGTTGGGATGACTAATCTGAGGTAAACTCACTCCTGTCCGCTACACCTGGGAGGGGCCCAAAAGCACATTCCAAGAACAATTCATGGTTTTGAAGAAATTGAAGTCACAAGACTATTGTCTAGTTTTCTTGAAGTTTCCTTGTAACTCTCGAAATTCCTCAGAATTCTCCTTACCTGACTCCATTCTCGGAGCATGTTTGACACCCACACATACTACACATGCCTTGCAAATGTATACCTGCACACTCATCCACACATATATACATGGAGTCCTCTGGAGACCTGTGCTACCTCAGGATAGCAAACAGCCTTTGATCGTGGCGTTATTCTGTTTCATATTCTGAGCACTTTCTCATGCTTCCTCCTACAGAAGCTGACTGTTGAGTATCTGTGATAAAATCACTTGCAAAAATTCCTTTATAGCCAGGCGTGGTTATGCACAACTTTAGTTCCAGCACCTGGGAGGCAGAGGTGGGTGGATTTTTGTGAGTTTGGGGCAAATTTAATCTATATAGAGAGTTCAGGGGCACCCGGAGTTACACAGAGAGAACCTGTCTTTAAAAAAACAAAACTTTTACCCATTAGGTGATTCTGTAACTAGAAATTTTACAGCTTAAATACTTACATTCATCGTCAACACTACAAAACAAAGCAGTTGTAATGCCGAGTGAGTCTGCCTGTATGTATACACGTGCATATGAACATCTGTGTGGAGGTCAAAGGTCAGCCTTATATTGTTTGTCAGGTGTTGTCCATCTTGCTTTTTGAGAGGATCTGTCACTGGCCTGGAACTTGTCAGTAAGCCGTGTTGACTGTCAGTGAGCCCCAGGATCTGCTTGTCTCTGCCTTCTTATCATTGCTGGGCACAAGCACGTGCTCCCGGGCCCTGCTTTTTCCCTTGACATCTGGGAGTCAAGCCCTGATCTGATCCTCAGCTCTGTGATGTCTTCATTTGTTCTTAGCACTGACTGTTGTGATGTGGTGTTCTACGTTTTATTGTCAGCATAGAAAAATGGTGAAGTATTTGCTTTTATCCTTGAGCTATACGGATGGATGGATGGATGGATGGATGGATGGATGGATGGATAGATGGAAGGATGGGTGGATGGATGGATGGATGGATGGATGATGGATGGATGGATGGATGGAAGGGTGGGTGGGTGGGTGGAAGGATGGATGGATGGATGGATGGGTGGGTGGGTGGATGGGTGGGTGGATGTATGGATGTATGGATGAATGGATACTTTGGAAGTTCATTCTAAAACACATTTTTCCCAAATTTGAGGTTAGAGGATCCTGAATGCCCAAAAGAGCTTTGTGTCAGCTCAGGTTTTGAGACACAGGGCAACCCTGAGCTTTCTTGGTTGGCGGGCATTGCAAGTAGCTCCCATTTTACACAGGTTACGAGGATCTGTGGGAACATCGGGAGCATAGGGCTAGGAGTGAGGTGTGGACTCAAGTGGATCTGCAGTAGACGTACATGGGCCACTGCTATTTCAGTTTTATAAAATAGTCACAGAAATTCCAAAATGCTTTCAATAATAGAGCCCTTCTGATGACTGTGTTGTAATCCATCTTGCTTTTCCTGTTGTAAAGCCACAGGGTCGACTCTTGGAAGATACCTCCATCGCTGCTGCATGATGTCCAGGACAAGCTCATGGTGTTATTACAGAGGAGGCAAAAGGGTACCAGGGAGGCTACCGTGACTGTAGTGTTGATCATGGTGAAAAGTTAATCTTGCCTATTTTTTAATGGATATAATACCAGCTATTCAGAGGAACTCATGGTTAAAATACTGAGGAAATCATCTCCAGTTTCACTAATAAAAGTTTGAAATGTGTCAGTGTGACGTGAAAGGGTGTCAGGTCATCGTTGCTGTTAGAAGTCCTTTCGTGGTTAGTGCAGTGTGTCTTCTGTACAGCATCAGTAGACACAGATACCCAACCAAGTGTGGATGTCAGAGGAGACGCCACTCACCTGGGTCTGCCTGCAAGTGACCCACCCCATTAGTCCCCTGCGTGTTTCTGCATACACAGCAAGCAGCACAGGTCTGTCTGACTGCGGGACAGACCTCCAGGGAAGGGGGCTCATTAGAGCAGTTGAAAGGTGTGTTTTATTTACCGTCAGAAAGTTTCAAACTACAATCCGTACATGCATTTGTGTGCTTCCTGAAAGAACCTGATTATAAGCGTCATTACTAAACTAAGTCTGGGAGAATGAAGCATTAAGAGTCTTCAGTCCCATTATAGAATTTCCTAAGTGCTATATAGAACAACCTTTACGTTCATGGAAATGGAAACAGATCATATGGGGAACATTTTCTTTGTAAAATATCTTAATTTAAAAGTACATAATTTCATGGATATTTGTATTATGCAGACTGTGGGCATATTGTAAAAAGGAAATAGTGATGTAAATAAAATATGTTCTCTTTCACATCTGCTTGTGATACCTTTGATTTTTTTTATGTGGTTAGATGTCTTTTCTGTGGTTGGATCTCAGTATATGAAACAGCCTTTACCAAGAACACTTTGCCAGGTGACTGGAGAGCACAGGAAGGTCTCTCTGTGTTCCAGGACCTGCTCAGGCAGTACAAGGTTGTATGGGGGCATGAGTTCTGTGTCATGGGTTTTGAGGGAGAGGCCATCAGAGTCTGGCTCTGGAGTGGCCTAGGATCTCCTCTGTGTGGCTGGCTGGCTGGCTAGTGACTGCCTCCCTCAGTGAATTGAGTTTTCCCAAAGAGAAGCTGACAGGACCTGTTCCTTTAGGCTGTGACGATATCAGTTAACAGCTGAGGACAGCTTGGCCCCGCCAGAGCCAAGGTCCACTCTTAGCTAGACTACCCTCCTGCTTCCCGTGGAGGATGGTTATGTGCACTTGTCATAGGCATTGTACATAAAGTGATATGGAAGTGAGAACACACATGTATATGAACGCACATACCTAATATAAACCATACACACGGTTCATGAGATACCTGCCCTCTTTGTTGGCCCCTGTTTTGTATGCTAGTGTTTTGTTTTGATTCTTCATTGTAACCTGCCAAGTTGATCCTGTGGCCTCTGGTAAGACATACCTGGAAATCTGAAAACTTCCACCCGAAGGTCTCTAAGGTCCCTGTGGACACTACGGTACTTGGACATAATGCACTAGCCATAAAGTCCCATGCATTGACACTGACAGTTTCAAGTATAAGATTTGTGCTCGTGCCAGACAATCACTGGCGTGCACTTCAGCGTAGCCTGAATGTTAGCGTGGCGTCATAACTGCATTAACTTTGTCTGCTTTACCAAATAAGTCTGTTTTTAAATTTTCCATATAGGCGGGGATAAAAATTTTATTACCTGTGGCCAAGAAATATCCCATATTGTAAATTCTGTGAATACATTCTCTTGGTCTGTTTTGAAACTGGATTTCTTTGTTGAAAAAATGTATAAGATTATGACTTATCTTGTGTTTAAAAAGTCAAATCTGGCTTAATGTTGTAAGGGCTGTCATTTCACCAGGGTCCTGTCTTTCTTTCTCTTCCTTCATCATGTCACCTGGGACCTCTGCCCCTTGTGAGAATGTCCGCCTTCTTGCCTTTGTACGGTATTACGTTCACTACCCGGCATTGCTGTGTACTGGCATGCACCGTGCGTGGTGGTTTTTAACCAGGACAGTATGTATTAGGAGATTTGTGTAAAAGCATGACTCTCAGACAGTGCTGTGAGCACCAGCCCAAGATCCAGATGTTACCATGTGGCTCCCTTAGAGCCACACACTCAACTCTGAATCCTCAGCTGTGATTATCTTCAGCATCCTGGGCTCCTTGTCCTCAAATTCTTAGAGCAGTTGGTTTTTCCACCTGTGGGTCACCACCCCTTCAAGGGTCGAATGACCCTTACACATGGGGTCTCCTAAGACCATTGGAAAACACAGATATTTACAATACGGTTCACGAACAGTAGCAAAATTACAGTTATCAAGTAGCAACAAAAATAATTTTATGGTTGGGGGTCACCACAACATGAGGGGACTGTATTAAGGGGCCAGCAGCATTAGGAAGGCTGAGAATCACTGAATTAAAGCATTTTTAAGGAGTGTGACTGCTGTGTTGAGGTTTTTTCAAATGCTGGTTATTTGAGGGGAAGATTGGTTTTGTTTTAGTTTAATTCTTCCTTCACAGCCCACATTATCATTACCCAGAATTCCTTCCTGTGAGGACTCCCCGTCCCCTGGCAGATGGAAGGTAACCCCTTTAAATGGACGAGTCCATCCAGTCTGTCTCGGGGTTTCTGTGGGACGAGGTAAGGTTTTAGTAGGCTTACATGTCCTAAACCCAGTCGGGAAGCCAAGGCAGGTGTTGGGATTCAGACCTAGAACAAACAGCTGAGGTACATATTTTACATACCAAAGCCTGGTATATACCTGGCCTCCAGCCTCCCCTCTCCCAGCAACCCTCAGGCCCTACCTGTTACAAGGCATTCCCTCCCCACAGCTCTTCCCTATAAAAAGCAAATGTCTTGGTCTCTCCCATCTGCATACATGCGCTCTCTCTCTCTCTCTCTCTCTCTCTCTCTCTCTCTCTCTCTCTCTCTTTTTCCCCTCTCTTACCCCTGCCTCTGGTCCCTCCCTATGGTGACTTCACTGATCCCCTCCTTGGGACCAGTGAACTGGCCGGAGAATGGTTTCCCAATAAATCTTTGTGTGTGTTAATTCTGCTTGAATTGGCTCATTTCACTGGTGGAAAATAACTTATCAGCAGAAACTCAAACAGGGCAGGAACCTGGAGGCAGGAGCTGATGCAGAGGCTATGGAGGAGTGGGGCCTACTGGCTTGCTCCTCCTGACTTGCTCAGCCTGCTTTCTGGTAGAACTCGGGATCGCCAGGCCAGGAGTGGACCCAATCACAGTGGGCTGGGCCTCTGCACATCACTAATTAAGAAACTGCTCTGTAGGCTTGCCTGTACCCTCTTATGGAGGCATTCTCTCACTTGAAGTTCTCTCCCCCCTAAGAGGACATAAAACTAGTCTGTGCCTGCTCCCAGTGATACCTCTCTATAGCTTCCTCTCTTGACCTCAAAACCCAGAAAAAGCACCAAGCAGTCCAATTCTTACTTTGAAAACTGCTTAGTGCTGGGTTATATTATTTAATTAAATTGTAATGACTGTAATTGTCAGCATTCCTCCTAGGCTCTGCCCAACAGTTACCTGGCAACAGCCGTGTAGGCCTGGCTTGCTATAGACGGGGCTGTTTGGCCCCTCCTCTATCTCTCTGCCCCCTTCCTATGACTCTCTGAGCCCCTTCCGCTCTCCCTGACCCTTTTACCCTTCTCTCCCCTTCTTAACCAGCCTCTTCCCTCTCCCTGTCCCTTTCCCCATCTCCTTCCCTCTCCCTGTCCCTGTTCCCATCCCCTTCCCTCTCCCCCTCCCCCTCCCCTTCCTCTCCCCTCCCTTCCCCCTCCCCTCCCCTCCCCCTCCCTCTCCCTCTCCCTCTGCCACTCCCCACTCCTCTGTGTATGTCCTCTGTCCCCTCTCTCTCTGCCTCTACTCCCTTCTCAACTCCCCTTCCCATGCCCCCAAATAAACTCTATTCTGTACTAGACCATTGTATGGCTGGTACCTCAGGGGGAAGGGATGCTTCAGCATGGGCCTGTCAAGGCACCCCTCCCACCTCACCATACCAAGCTCTATCAAACATATCCAGGCTTTTTATCAAACACATCAGTAATCTTCAAGAAACAGTTACTCCATGGGTGGAGACTGTCAAACAAATGCAAATGTAGGCTTTATACCTTGTCATCAGTTTATTCGTGTCCTGTGAGGCTGGGTCCTCTCCATCTTTTCCTACAGAAAACCACAGCCCTAGGCAGGAGGATCATAAGAAAAAAAAATTACACTGTATTGTCACAATATCCCGAAGTAGCATTTTACTTGTTTTCTGAAACACATTTTACCAGAAGGAAAGATCTACTCACAGGTACAAGTGTGTCTGCATTTCAGGGTCTGTGTACTGTGTAAACTACACCCTGAGCAATCCCTTGAGTTTTCTTGTCTCAATCGCTGAAAGAATTTGAAACTTACAGCAACCTTGAGGCTGGGGCCCTATGTTTAGAGCACACCCTTGCCCAGATGTTTCAGCATGCATGACAAACGAGAACTGACAAACAGCCTAGATAGGCTGGACAAGACTTCCCAAAGTTGGACTGTACAGACGGCTCAGTGGTTAAAAGCACTGGCTGCTCTTTCACTGGACCTGTGTTGGGTCCCAGCACCCACAGGGCAGCTCACAGCCATCTGTAATTTCTGTTTTAGAGGATATGATGTCCTCTTCTGGCTTCATACATAAATGCAGGAAGAACGGCCATTTACACAAAAATGAATAAAAACTCAGATAAAAATATTACTAAAGTTGTGTATCTTGCCCAAGTGATAATTGCTAACACTGGCTGAGCCCTAAAGTGTGCCAAGTAGGGTGTACTTCTCTCTCCTTCAGCCTTAGAAGAGCTGCAATACTCAGCATGATGGATTCTATACGCTTAGCCCAGGGAGTAGCACTGTTAGTACTTGTTGGAGTAGGTGTGGCCTTGGAGTAGGTGTGTCATTGTAGGATGGGACCCTCATCCTAACTGCCTGGAAGCCAGTCTTCCACTAGCAGCCTTCAGATGAAGATGTAGAACTCTCAGCTCCTCCTGCACCATGCCTGCCTGGATGCTGCCATGTTCCCACCTTGATGATAATGGACTGAACCTCTGAACCTGTAAGCCAGCCCCAATGAAATGTTGTCCTTATAAGAGTTGCCTTGGTCATGGTGTCTGTTCACAGCAGTAAACTCTAACTAAGACACTCAGTATGGTATATGGTTTTGTGAGATAGGGTCTCAGCTGTGGCTCTGGCTGTCTCGGAATTAACCTTAAAGTCGAGGCTGGAGGTGAACACACAGTGAATCTCTTGCTTCAGCCTCCTGCTCAATCCTAAATTGTTTTATGTTAACTATACATTTGATGACAAAGAGCTATGCATTCTATGAGTTGAGAACCGGCCTTAAGACTGTAAAGTAGTAAGGTAGTAAAACTCCTAATTGTGCTTTGAAGTGTTCTCTGTCGGCTTCTTCTGAGCCACTTTCTGTGCTGGTTCCTAAGCCATAGAGGAGGCTCCATTCTTGAAGACCAGTGGGCAGAAAGAAAGAACGTCAGTCCAGTGTGAGAACAGGGCTGGCAAGCCAATGGGATAGCTAGTGTTGCTTTAAAGTACTTCCAAAACCAAAACCAAAAATTAGGTGTGGTATCTCTCTTGCCAGCAACTTGGGAAGCAGAGACAGGAGGATCACTGCAAGTTTGAGGTCAGCCTGGTCTACACAGGCCTCTCCAGACAGGTGGGGCTACATATACAGTGAGATCTTGTCTAAAAAAACAAAACAGAAAAAGCAAACCCAAAAACCAACAAACCAAAACAAG